TTTCTATAATTTAATAAGAACTTGAACAATTATATTTCTTGAGAGACTAAAACCTATCATTTAAAACTGAAAAGACCAAAATCAAAATGACGATAATTTAAAAAATCAAAGATATATTAACCTACTGAAAGATTCACTCGGTTTTTCCCAATAAAATAATTAATATCCTCTTGTTAACAGCATATCAATTTGAACATTGAGATTAAAGCTCAGTCTATAGTCATAATACTAGCTATTCTTGTCATAGCATCAAATTAACTAATTTAAATATATTAAAAAATATTAAATTAGTTTTTATTTAAAGTAAATGTTGATTTTTTAAAAATATTATCTTAAATTATTACACATTAAAAACACTTTTTTCATATAAAATTTTTAACATGTATAATCAATAAAAAAAAGTTTAAAAAATTATATGTATATAAACAAAATGAATTAAAATTTTATTTCAATTAATTTTTACGAACAATAGTATAAAGTCGGCTGAAGTACGGAAGAAAATGCACGCACATGTTGATGCAGCATTCATTAGATGATTAGAAGACAATGTTTGGGGGACATTTAGATTTGTACTGCAAGGCAGCGCTACTTGGACGTGTGTATGTCGGCTACGGGCTACCACTAACCCTTAGGGTATGTTTGGCTCAATGAGAGGAAGGGGAGGGGAGGGATTTTAATTGAGGAATGGGAGGGGAGGGGAGGGGAGTGGAAGGATTTTAATATATCATCTTGTTTGGATTTATAAAAAAAGAGGAGAGGGGAGGGGAAAATATTTTAATATGGACAATTTTGCTCTTATTTTATTTAAGGTGTGGGCATAATGGTCACACATGACAAAATATAGACATAATGGTTCAACATGACAAAATATGGGCATATAGTCATAATATGACAAATATTGTCCTTTCCCCCAAATCCTCCCAATTTTGGAGGGGAGGTTAGGGAGGGGAGGGGAGGGGAAATTTTAAAAAAATTTCCCTCCCCTCCTAAAATTTGTGTGTTGACCAAACAAGGAAAAATGATTAAAATCCCTCCCCTCCCCTCCCCTCCCCTTCCTCCCAAATCCCTCATACCAAACACACCATTAAAAAACGTCGTTGTAAGTAGACGGGGTGCAAGTCGCGCGTATGTACAATTATATCCATTGGGTCAATATCTCCAGCTCCAAGAACGGTCAACATCTGTCCCTCCTAAGAATTGCTTCTTTGAGCTAAAAACTGCTTCTTCTTTTTTTTGGGGTGATTTGAACTTAAAAAAAAGGCATATGTTGGCAATAAATAAATAAATAAAAACACCAGTCCCTATATTTTTATTAATTTTATGGCATATATTCTTTAATTTCTTTTTTATATTTAATTTAATAAATAAATATTATATATCACAGATACATATGCAAATTATAAATTTATAAACATTTTCATTATATATCATGTGCATATAACGCATCCTTCAAAACCTATAAAATATGGTAAGCACATACTATATTATTTTTTAAAAAAAACAACATTTTTTTAGAAATAATATTATTTTTAGTTCTTGAAATTTAACTTTAATCCTTAAAAATTTAAACTAAAACAATGTTCTAGGGACCCAAAAACAAAAAAATCAAATTCCATGAATTAAAACCAAAACTAAAATGGATCAAATTTTAGATTGTAGAGGTAGTATTAACCCTATTGGTTATCATGGAAATAAAAAGCGGACGAGATTCTTCATGGGTTTCGAAATAGAGGGGAAAACATACAAGCCGAACAAGCCTGACCTCAGCAATTGCTCCACTTGCACCATTAAAGGACAGTGGCGAGTGTGCTCTTCTCTGCGTCATCTCATCTGTCTCATTCTCCTTCGCCGCATCTTCTTGGCAATTACGTAACGAAGAACAGAACCAAACATTCAAAATTTCAAATATCTTATTATTCACTGCATTACATGCTGGCGCTTGATATGTGATTCAATTCAACATGGATTGAATCCGAATCACCTTCCGTTATGTCAGAGTCTATAGCACTGACTCCTATCATGGTCCCCTAGCTATTTTATTAATCACTATTCACCGCTACAGATACTACATATATGCCCCAGACCAGAGACTCTAGTTCTAATTTGAGATTCCCGCAGCAGCTTCTATATCCCTACGATTTTGATCAGGTTCAATGGCAGATACGGCAGCCCAGCCATGCTCAAACGTGAGATCCAAGAAATAGAGCATGAAAACGAGGACGAAGCAAGAGACGAACATGGGAATGGGTCCGAAAAGCCACAGAAACATCGGGAAAGAGAAGTAAAAGGCGCGCAAACCCAGAGACCAAAAATAGCTTCCTCTGTTAACGGTGGTGGCGACGTAGTCAGACGTCAGGATCTGGTGCCGAATATTTGGGCACACCTTCTTGAATGGAACGTTGATGAGGATGCTGGCGTGGCTATAGTACCTTATGGACTGAACGTTCATCAGAAAAGCCACCATGAAGCACACCAATATGGCGAAGAACTTTATCGATAGACACAGGTCGCTTCTGTCCCCATAAACCACGATCACTTTCCTCTCTTCGTCCCCACTATGGCTCAACAAGATGGCGATGAGCGAACTCAGCATTATCGCCATGGATGCTACAAGAGTCGACGCCATTATGTTGTTCCTCAGAGACTGAACAGCCAGAACTCCATTCTTCGGCACCTCCTGCGTATCGCGAAATCGAAGATTCAGAACCCAAAAAAGAAAAAAAAACCTGAAACCTAAAATGAATCAGAAACTAATTAAGAGATAGTGATAATCGATATTGGCACGAACGCCCGACGCTACATATACCAACGAGCGCTCTAATATGGCCATATGTGTGTGTACCTCCATCATTGCTTGAACCCAGAAACGGCGACTGATGGCATTGACGCCGACGACGGTTTTAGTGGGGTTGTGTGATGATTCGAAGGAGGAGCCAGAGGTGGTAGGACAGAAGGACCAGTAAGCCCACGGGGACGAGGATGAAATCGAGTATTTTCTTCTCCATCTGTGTATCCGTTGGTGGCTGCAGGTATGAAGGAGGAAGGCAAGCGAAGAAGAGTGAGGGTAGTGAATAGTGATATGATGCCGCCTGTGTGTATGTAAAGAGGAGAATGTGAAAGCATTTATTTATAGCAGCGGCGATCCCACGAAACCACAGCGTTGGAGGGGTGGGGGTTGGGATTTTCTTGCATGCGCTTCTATTTTTCTAAAAGGGAAAATAAATTAAAAGTTCCGTTCCGCACAAGAAAGGGGAAGGAGGCAAGGTTGATTGTTTAAATGGGGTCCACGTGTATTCATGGATCCAAAGTCTGACTGCACTACTGGCTTTTGCGTGTAGTCGCATCCAGAGTGGGGGGCTTTCTCATGGAAATTGCAGGATGGATTTCGGCCTCGTTTTGGTTTCATCATCACAGGACGCCAATATCATCCCACATTGTTTTGTCTACTTCTGCGAACCCAAGCAATTATATAGCAAAAGAAGTAATTATATCTACAGATTGATTCACACGGAAAAATGTATACATTTTCTTCCACAGACCTACAGTAAGTCTTCAAATTCTTTGTTCACATTTAAGAATGAAAAATAAGTCTTTAAACTTTTGTGATTCAAAAACCCCAGCAGAAGTCTCCCATGATCTCAATATCTACACATGTAGCATTGGAGACGGAACAAGGTTGCCACGCTTAATTATATATAAAAATTTCAAGATTGTGCAGCAAATGAGTTAATGTAAACAAGCCTTATTACACAGTAAATTCAGCTATATAAATCATCCTCCGTCAACAATTAAATCTTCAAATAAATTGATAATAAAAAGAAACCTCCCTATCGATTAATGACCTTCAAACATATTCAAGCCACTTTAACAACTTTCTTAACAAGTCGGATGACACTGGCTTGTCACATTCACGTGATGGGACAATAGGTTCATATGGCGATGGGATCTTCCGCTGGCAACGAATCTTTGAGTAAATATCATTAAAGGGGAAAAAATCAATAGACTTCAATTTCCAGTTTTGAAAATTCAAGACACAGTTTGCAAGTAACTTGCTCTAAAGGAGATTTTTTTGCATTTTTCTCTCCGAGAATTTTTTCCACTCATGCAAGTCAAAACTAAAATGTAAATGCAGGGAACTGTACACTTGTAAACATCTAAAAACCAGCCTTGTAAATCCTATATTCTGAATGAACAGGCAAAATTTCAGATCAAACATCAACTATCTTAAGAGGTAGGTGGCCAAGTATTCAATGCTCCAGTACTTTGATCTTTTCAAGATAATTATGCATGCGCTGGGTATCATCAGTCGAGAGACGATCTCCCACCATAAGTTTGAATTGCTCAAACTTCAATTCCTCACACTTCAAGGCAGCAGTTCTACAAGCCTTTATACTCCCTGAAGTAAAAGTCATCACGTCATGTCAGGTAGTCTTCTGTACAGGAAATCAGCAATAGGAGTAATTACACAGGTGGATGGAAACTTCAGTCATCACATATTATTTTGTCAAACTTGACTAGAATGCCTACTTACCAGACAGGTCCAACATGTTAAAAGTCACTGGGTAGTTCCCAATACTTCTGACCATTGTAATAGCAGACCAAACCTTTTGATATTCCCCTCTTGAGACTCTAATGATGCATGTATTGGTGATTGGATTGACATACTTGACTACAAAAAACAAGAAGTATACTCATCATTTCAAAAAATAACGCGCTAAATATACAGACAGAAGGCAAATCTGATAAGAACCAAAAATAAAGAAATGATTTGTTACTAACCCATGAATGATCCCACGGACGAGGCCAAACCACACTCCCCAAAGTTTAGCAGGATGCTTTCTTTTATTGCCTTAGACACATTAAACTGGGTAATTATAATACAATCATTACCCACATGGTCCCTGTTAGGATTCAAAAAGACCTCCATTACCATGTACCTATTCTTAAATCCCACCATGATCGCCCTTTACCTGGCTTTATCTGCTGTAGAACACTCACTCGGGCAGATCCGTTCCCTGTAAACATCGATCGCAAGGATCAAGCAACTTAAATGTTACTAAATGCATATCGAAAAAGTTATTCCAGATCTGATAAACCAAAAAATCATAGTGAAAATCAAACGGAAATGGGAATTCACACAATATCATTTGTTAATTGCTGATTGAAAATCGATTCTCTCTCGCCAAATTATCACATATTTACAGCTTAGTCACTCCAACAAATGAAAAGAACTCATAGCTTGACATCAGAAAGGTGTTTTTTCTTCTTCTTCTTTTTTTTTGGGGGGGGGGGGTCCGGACCATTTCTATGTTAAAAAGATCTAACGTTTAGAAGGAAATCTTACCAATAAATATACCAAAAAATTTACAATATGATAAGGATACCAGCAAGTAATTCACAGAATTTAGAACAGAGACTCCAAAATTCTTTTGGTTTATATGTACTTCGACAAAGAGGAAAGGATTCTGTGGACAGCATATGAATATTTGTCCATCCTATAGTAAATGCATACAATTTAAGTGCCCAGAGTTACTTTGTACCCTATATCCCCGACTCCACAGATATTAATTCCACGAGAAGAACCCAAGCAGGGGAAGAAAATCCCCCAAACAAGAGAAGAATCCTGAGTCTTGAGAGAATCGCGGTCCTCGCGCCAATCGTAACTGCGATGCTGGAGTTTTCCACGAGCACCGGGAAGAGCGCGGCGAGACCGCCGTTGATCAGTTTAGGGTTCACAATTAGGCAAAACCCCTAGGCCACGTTTGGTATCCTAGAGAGGACTTAGCGGAATTGGAACAGAAAGGGCATGTTTGGATTGAGGGGAGGGTAGGGAAGGGAAGGAAAGGTATTTAATGATCCCTTGTTTGGTTTAAAAAAGAAAAGAAAGAGATAGTAATAATCAATTTACTATTTTACCCTCACATATTAGTTATATTTTTTATTGATATTTATATAAATTAATTTAGATCTTAATTTAAATTATATAATGTAATAAAAATTCAGTCTTATCATGTTAACATGTGCATTAAAAAATTGGTACGGTAATTTTTTATTATAATTAATATAACAATATATTTAAAATAATCAAATTAACAAAAGAAATAAAATTTTATTTTCTTTAAGTTATTCTTTTTTTTTCAGTTTTAAAATATATTTAATAATTATATATTATATAAAAACAATTAATTTTATAATATTATAATTTTTTATTTAAATAATTTTTTATAATATATTTTTAATTATAATAATTTATTTTTTTTATTTTTTACTTAGGATAATATATTTTTATTTAAAATAAATATTATAATAATATATTTTATAGGTAATAGTGAAACATTAAAAATACTATAAGAGTATAATAGTCTAAAATTTTAACTCCTTTTCAAAAGCTCCTAATTTGGAGGGAGCTAAAATAGAAGGAGCGAGGGACATTTTAATTCCCTCCCCTTCAAAATTTTTAACCAAATCCCCTCCCCTCCCCTCCCTCCAACCAAACAACTAAAAGGAATAAGAATTGGAATAGAAAAGAAAATAGAATTGGGTCACGAATAATAATAACATCGAAGGACTAAAGTACCCTTCATAAACCCTTTTTTGTTTTTTTATAAAAAGGACTCAGTTCTCCGACATCGAAAACCACCTCATCACCCCAGATCAGCACCGGTGAGGCAGAAACAACTTAGCATAAATCATAATGAGATCTACAACAAGAACAAAAGCAAAAAATCTAGAGCAAGAAGAAAAGCAAAAATCGAACGGCAAAGTAAAGATCCACAGCAAACTTCATATCCAGATAGAAACCGAAAGCAAATATCCACAATCAGAAGAAAAGTAGGAAAGGCAAAGTTCAGACAGTGAAGAAGATGACTGAGGAGGAAAAATCGTACGCAACGGAATGAGACGAAAGGAGAGTAGTGAGTGAAAACAAGGGCAGCGATGGCAATATACTTGGAATCAGCACAATTTCTGGGTATTTTGGTCTTGCGAATCCGTCTCCGTCTCTTTTGAGCCAATTCCTAGCTTACCAAAACACAGCCGCCAGAAAATAAGATCCTATTAGAATAGATGGGCCGATTTCGGGTTGTAGCTCAGTCCAGTAATTCGGACGGCGGAAATAGAAGGAAGCTCCAAAGACCAATGAAGATTAAATCAGGACCCAAATAAAAAAAGGCCGGATGAAGATAAGGCGCAGGGGCTATAGAGTCAAAGGCATTAGTAATGGAGCTCGATGATGCCGCTTCTAATTACACGTGTCAAGTGATGATGCGGCGATAAGGTCTACGCGGCTCACCCTGTTTTATCTCTGGCATCATTGAATCGTTAAAAAAGTGGGAAAGCTGGCGGAGACAGAGAGCGAAAGGACCGTTAGAGACACGTGACAAGCGGTACAAAAACATGTTTTTATATTTATTAAAACAAAAAATAAAAGGTGGGGATGGTCAGAAACTCCGTTACGATCGTTGGATCCGTGAGTTTATCCAAAATTATAGGTGAAGTGGCCACCTGACCCAAAACTGACTTCGTGAAATTACGGTTCGCCCCACATTTGACTGAAATTTCACATGAATTTCATTTGCATTTCGCTTGGTCTCCGGGGACGTCAACCCCATTATGGATTTGTAGTCACACCCGCTGCTGTAGCGCCCTCTTTTCTATAAATACCAAGGCCGTTGCGCTCGATTGCTTGTTTAATTTTGTGTTAGCGAAGGTGATGCAGAGAGAGTGAGTACGGGAGAGGAGAGAGAAATCAGTTTTGTATCTTTTTGGGTTCTTTCTCATTTTGTAGGTATTAGGTACGGAGTAACGGAGGCAAGGAGGCAGACTCGGCAGCTTGACTTTGTTGAAGAGCGTGAGTTATCTACCTTCATTTTATCTTCTGGCGTTGGTTGGTTCTTTGTTGTCGTTCCTAAACTCTCCTGCTTTTCCCGCGCGTATGTGATGTGGTGGTGAAATTGTTAGGTTCGCCTGAGAGCGCGATGATCCTTTTGATGTTTTTGTTTCTTCGGTTGTTTTATGGAGATTATCGATGCGAAACTGTAATTGAAAAAAAGGTTCGGGTTAGGTTTTGTGTGTAATAAACCTCTAAGGTGGTTATTAATAGGTAATTATATTGCGGAGCTCGTGTCAATTGTGCCATCTGCTGCCATCTTGGAATTGGAATTAAACGGCTGAGGCCTAGATCTGTCCCCGTGGTCGTTTGTGTTGCTCGCGTATAAACGTTAGACCTTTTTATGATCCTGGAGACTGTCTTACGTCGGTACGGAGAGTGGTCCGGATGTTGAAACATGTATTTGAAGGCCTCAATTCTTTGACCTTGTTTCTCATCTATCTATGGCTTATACGTTCAAGAGTTAAACATCTACTTAATGACGGGGTCTTTTCAGGTAACAGGTAGCGGAGAGTGTTGTTTCTTACCGTAATTACAACTAGAGTGCCAAAAGGTTCTGAATATAAAAATATTATATTAATTTCGACCCCTCTCTCTCTTTAGAGGCAAGAAGATCAATTTCGTTGAGTTTAACTGAATTCTCTGTGTGTGATGGGCCTGCAGACAATTCAGGCAAGGCACTTGGACTGAAATCGGAGATGTTAGAATCGTAGAAGTTGCTGTTTCAACAGAAGGAATGGAGTATATGGCAATCTCTGGTTGCCAGGTCCTGCAAATGTTATTTATCTGATGCAAGTATTTTGGGGTCGAGATGGTCCCATTCCTGGTCACAAATGCGACTGGAAATGTGAAAACGAACATGTTTGTGGAAACATGTATCGCTGCAAGCTACAGGGCTGACTCACATATGTGATAAAAACTGCAATCAGAGAATTTTGTATGATAACCATAGCTCTCTTTGCCGAGCAAGTGGTAACTTTTTCCCCTCTTACACCAACAGAGGAACAGCAGTGATAGGTGTCAGAAGAAAGCTCGATGCGGACAAGTTCACACCTCAGTGACATCTGTGGTGTTTTGTAAGCGTAGACGGGATGCACAAATTCATCCTTCTCCTTTTGAGAGATCTTTCTCTGCTGTCAGTCCTATCTGCAGCCAAGTTGGAGATTGGCATGGATATGAGCTAGATTTTATCATATAACTCAAAAAGACTCTAATAATTTGTTCTTGTCCTTTTGGCATTTTTTCCTTTTTCTTGGACTAGTTATTGCGACTGTGTACAATCAGATTGTGTGCTACTTCATATGTTGCTGGACCGTACTGATCGTGCCCTCTGTTGTAGGAAACCTCTTTATATGCTGGTAGTATTTCTGTAATAGTTCTTGAAATAGCTTGACTGTTCGATGGTGAGTTTATGGAACTTAAATAGACATCAGTCTCTTGCTAACCTTATTGAGAAGCAGACTGCTGTAGCGAGCTACAACTGCATGATGTATTCTGGCCTTTATGATGCTTGATAATGATTATGGACCACAGTATTGTACTATATATTAGCAATCTATAACCCTTTTCTGGTTTGCTCTGAAGTTTATATCGATAGTTAATCTGTTATAGCAGGGATAATCCGATTGTAGTATTTATGTACTAGTAATTTGTACCTTCCTGTTAGGACTTGTATTCTTTCACCTCTTCTGTTTCCCTGAGTTAGATTAAACTAACAGGTGACCACTGTCAATGTTGTCACTTCCTGACTGATCTCTTTATTCAGGGTTTGTTGGTAACCTTTACTTCTGTAAGCTCAGGTTCTCTCTGGTTCTTCATATGAACAAGATCTTTGCCATGTTATCTGGTGAAAGGTTTAGTAGTTCAGCTTTGCAGCTGTATTGATTATCGCTCTATAGCTCATTCTCTCCGTGATTTGATTGATAACTAGCTGTCTGAGGTTAATGTAACTTGTGCAGGTTTTGAAGCAGAAGCTACCAAGGAGCCTTGAAAACATTTTGTTTGCAATACTGAATAAATTTGTGAAGTCAATATGCTGTGCTAGATGATGAAGTGATACGTGTCTTGTTTGTTCAATGCAGGATGCCTCTGCTGCAGAGTGGAGAAGATGATGGATGCGGATCTGGAAACAATTTCCAAGAGTGAAGCTAATCTGACGTGATGTTAGAAGAGTTGGAATTGACAATCCTGATGCTGCTTATAAGATTATGGTGATTACCAAAACTGGATTCTGAAAGCCGAAAAAGGCAGGTTGATGAAACTTCGGGACACAAGATCTCATTGATATATTCCACTATACGCCGCTTCAGACGGTGGCATTGAGCTGATGGCAAGGAGAGTGGCTGCGACTGCGAGTGCAATTCTTGTAATTACCATAGGTCTATCAAAGCTTGCCCGTTATTTCTACTGCTGAGAAGATGCAGAGTTTGGATTCTCGTATTCTTGCCTTAGATCTGTAACTATTAAGTTTAATTTACATGACAACCAGCGTTCGGCTTTTGGAGGTGATATTAGTGACTATCCTTTGGCCTCTCTCTATTAATTCCATCGTTTCCATTGCTAGGAAGATGTGAGCTTGTACACTGTATGCTGTTCTTAATTCTTGAGATTATGTCTAGTCTCAACTTTTAACATTCACTAATAGACACGTGTGACCAGAGATTATTTACTCATCCCTGCCCTCTGGGTTTATTCTCTCTCAAGTGATTGTAAGAATCTTCAAAATTCATCGTTCTTTGCAAACCGGTGCGTTTTGATGTAACTTTGGCTCTACTATGCTGTGTTTGAATGAGATGGAGGAAAAAAATTGGAAGGAAGACAGATGGAGAAAATAAAATTCTCAGAGTTTGGATGAGTTTGGATAAACTGGAGGAAAACAGAGAAAAAAGAAATTTAACTAGGACTGCGACCACAATAACAACTATAATACTATGTAGAGGAGGTATGGCCTGTGGGGCTGATGCCTATGGGACAATTTTAGGAAGGTATATTTTCCCTCTAAAATCTGCCATTTTAAAGTTATGAGATAGAAAAGTTTGAGAAGGATAAGAAATGGAGGGAGAAGAGGAAAAGGAAAGGCAATGAGCGTTTCTGAGATCTATTCACTATTCGCATATACCTCGAAAGCGATGCGCCCTTTTTTTTTTTGACCTGAAAACCTCCAAATTGATCCACCGGAAAGCGCTTGTTTAGCGTGAAGGGCGGGCCATCACTAGTGGGATTTTTCCCCAGAAACAGGAAAAGATGTTATATTAGTGCGCGGCAGTGTTTAATTAATAATAAAATTAACCATGATTGATTCCCTTAGTAATTGGTTAGTCCTTAATTCATCACGATGACGTGGTCCGTAACATCTGTTCGGAGATAGTCTTGGAAAATATTTTTTAGAACAATCTTATTAAGAGATTTCATCATTATAATTTAAGCATCCTAATTTTTATTTCTTGAGCTTCTAGAAATATTCTCCTTTTATTTTTGGATAACAAGTCTCATCTCTTAGCATTAGATCCTTAAATTCTTAAAGCAATTTTTAAAGTAGCCTTTCTAGAAAAAATATTCGCATTACGTACTCGTTTTTTTAGTTAAAAATATGCACTCTTCTCTTCAAAATTAATATGTCCATTAATAACGACCATCTAGTATGTAAAAGATCGGTTTCACCATATAGTAGTACATCTTAAGCAACATTTTTTAAGGTTAAAATACAGATAAGCCCCTTCAACTTTAACTCTTTTATAAATAGCCTCCCTTACTTTTAAAAGTTTAAAAACAACACCCTCAACTCTTGTACTTTAACACTTAACACATTGCCGTTAAAGTGTATGTTAAATCTAATTGAATGAATGTCATGTTAGATTGTTTAAAATTATTATGACAATGACACATAATTTTTATTTTTTAATTAATTGATTCCAATCAAAACTCAATTCTACTGAAAGGCATTTTTGTGACTACTAATAATAATTCCTAGTCTGGCTCTTTCAACCTCTCCCCCCTCGCAGGTCTCCCTATTGCACCGTTTTATTCATTTTCTATTCCTTATTTCAAAAATCATCTTCATCACATGGCTCCTTAAATCTGGATTTTTTTTCTGAATTTTTTTTAGGAGATTATCATGTGATGGAATCACATGCTTGTTGCCCCCAGTCAAAACATATTATTAGAAAGAATTATTTTGAAAAACCCAATCGTACGGAGTATTAAGCTATAAAATCCGACTTATTCTGCATCTATAACACCTAAAAAATTCGTCGAAAGGGGTAGCAGCATTAATCCAAAGCTTTCAATCCCTTTTAGAGAAATTGACGTCGCAGGAAAGTGTGAATATTTTGTGCGCATCTGCGCGATGGCTAACACAGCTTATGAGTAAGACTGAGAGCAAGACAATCAGATTGGCCGAGACAAAGAACTGAAACTGTTATTGATATAATTACAAAGATGTCACTCTGGTAATTATGAGTTTTGAGTTGGAATAAATTAATCAAACAATAAAAATTACATTTTATGAGCCTAATAATTTTAAATAATCTGATATGGCATTCATTCCATTAGATTTAACCAACATTTTAACAGCAAGATGTTAAATGTAAAAATATAAGAATTAAGGATGTTATTTTAAACTTTTAAAGAAAAGAGACGCAGGTTACAAAAGAGCTAAAGTTGAAGGGGATTATTTGTATTTTGGTCTCTCTCTCTGTTTTTTTTTTTTTAATACTTGTTGCTTACAAGATATAATAACTGTCAAGTTTACATTATAAAATATAAAATAAGCAATTATAATTTTCAACATAAAAATATGAAAATAAAATCTTAAAATCAAGCTTTTATCCAAAAATGATACTCCTCCGGTCCTTATTATAAGACCCCATTTGACTTTTTATTTGGTCCTAATTATAAGACCCCAATCCATTTTGTCTCTTATATTTATACATTTTTTTTCCAAGATAATCCTTCTAATAATGATAGTTTTGGCCAATATACTTAATTAGCAAGGATATTTTAGAAATGACAACACTTATTTATTATAAATAACCAACTTAACTTACTTCCTTAATCTCCTCAAATAAGTCAATTGGGTCTTATAATAAGGACCGGAGGAGTATTAAATAATACTCCTCCGGTCCTTATTATAAGACCCAATTTGACTTTTTATTTGGTCCTAATTATAAGACCCAATCCATTTTGTCTCTTATATTTATGCGTTTTTTCCAAGATAATCTTTCTAATAATGATAGTTTTAACCAATATACTTAATTAGCAAGGATATTTTAGGAATGACAAGACTTATTTATTATCAATAACCAACTTAACTTACTTCCTTAATCTCCTCAAATAAGTCAATTGGGTCTTATAATTAGGACCGGAGGAGTAATAATTTAATATTTTTACCAATAAAATATTCATGTATTTTAAAATAATTGTATAAAAATATCTGAGATCCCGGCGCCGTCCTTTGGAGCGAAGTCACGAGTCACGACTCTAAAATATGGATTCCCCAATTTGTACCATATCTCATGCAACAGCAAAAGGAAAGAATTGCTTTTTGACGAGAAAATTTACAATAAAAGGAATGCTAAACCCATAAAAGGAGTTTTGCTCGCGCCTCCGATTTTCAGAAAAGCGACTTCACGCTTTGGTTTTGTAATGCATAATGCATTACACACACACAAAGATATATCAAGCTCGCATCACAAAAAGATCGGTCGATCATCAAAAATGGCGTTCTGCAGGAAGCTCCCCACTTTGCTCCTCCTTCTCTTCACATTCTCAACTTGTTCTAACTGCATCACATTCACCATCACCAACAACTGCAGCACTACCATATGGCCGGCCACGCTGTCGGGTTCAGGGTCGGCGGAGCTGTCGCCAACGGGGTTCCTGCTGGAGTCGGGGCGAAGTGTGAAACTGACGAGCGGGCCGAAATGGTCGGGGAGGATATGGGGAAGGACTGGGTGCAAGTTTGATGGGAAGGGAAACGGAAAGTGTGAAACAGGTGATTGCGGGGGGAAGCTGGAGTGTGAAGGGAGCGGAGCAGCTCCTCCGGCGTCGTTGTTTGAGATAACACTCGGTGGCGGCACTGACCAAGACTTCTATGATGTCAGCCTCGTCGATGGCTACAATCTTCCAATGCTTGCTGTCCCAGCAGGCGTCTATGGTGCCTCCGCCTGTAATTCCACTGGTTGTATTTCTAATATCAACACAGGTAATATGATAACAATCTGCGTTATATCACATGAGAGTTTGACCTCCAAAGTTTGGCTACTCCCGACTTCAACCGTTCTATATATCATATCTAACTCCTTCCCATATTTTATGCCAGTAGAAACTAGACTGTTTATGCGTTTTAATTCAGTGCTCGTCGTGATGATTCATGCTCATCGTCGTCTAAATTTAATTTGAATATATTTATGTGTTTTTAAAAAAATAACAATTCAAGAATTATTCTTATCTAGAAATTGCATCTTTAAGCTACAAAATATTAAAAAATAGAAGCTAGAACAAAACAAGATAATATATCTGAACAGCTAATTTTAACGCGAAGAATATGCTCATTTTCAATTATGAGCATGAAATCCATTTAGCCCAGCTTAATAATTAAAGCGTGTAAGATAATGATCTCGAAGGCGAAATTGAGGTGCGAGGAGGTGGGTTATATTAAGAATCAACCCCTTTCATTGAAATCAAATGTCCAATTTATAAACATAAAAGACAAATCTTGATTTAGAAGTAAGTGTTTGATCCAGCTGTGTGATAGTTGAAGATGAGATTCGAGTGTTGAACTTGAGGGCGAAACTGGAATGATGAATTATGGATGCATATATACAGGTTGCCCTAAAGAACTCCAAGTGACGAGTGGGAACGGGAAGCAAGGAAGCGGGGGCGTGGTAGGGTGCAGGAGCGCTTGCGAGGCATTTGGATCGGACCAGTACTGTTGCAGCGGACAATATGCCAACCCAACCACATGCCATCCCTCCCATTACTCAACCATCTTCAAGAAGGCCTGTCCCAGAGCTTACAGCTACGCTTACGACGACACCACCAGCACTTTCACCTGCAGAGCTTACGGATATGACATCATTTTCTGCCCCTCCTCCGCCTTCAGGTGCTACTTTCTCCCTCTAAAACTGTAATGAACTCTTAAGCCCCAATACTAACATATGCCATCACCGTTCAGGATTAGAAAGCCAACTAATAAACGCAATGGAACGGCTCAGCAGGCTGGTTCCTCAAGTGCTCTCTTCCCCTATTCATGCCCATTCTCCCTGTGTGTTGCCGCTCTTACTTTCTGGACTTCTATAGCAACATGGCCTTCACTATGAATGAAACCATATAATGCTCTCTCGGATGGGGATGGTGATGAGTTGAGTATGATTCTTGGAGAACTATGCGTGCATTCCGAATCATAAATTACTCTTCCGTTGCTTCAGCGGACTGCCAGATGCTTAAGAGCACATAGCCGCAACACCAGTCTATACACTCATCTCGAGCGAAGTAGTAATGTAGAAAGAAATACACTAAAACTTGTCATTTCTAACGTGACCGGAATGTAAGGATTATTCTCCCACACATTCTCTCTTCCACAACCTGTTCTGCATAAATTTAATGAACAATAGCCGCCTAATTTGAATCAAAGATGATAATATTTATTTTTCAAAGATAACAATATTTATTGAAAACCAAACAAACAATGTTATTCTGGAATATAGACTCAAACAGAAATATCTTAAGAATGGCCTGCTTAGAACGCTAATGGCAGATCTTCTATATTTTCAACTCCATCGTCGTCAACACTTGAATGGCGCATACAAATTGTGAAACACTCATCTTTTGGTTTTCGCTTTCTTGGAGCCTTGAGCTTTTTTCCTTATTTTCTTTGGTGCAGGTGGTTTTCCGCCTGCACTCCTACCTCTTTTCTTTGCATTACCCTGCATCCAATTTTTTTTGAAACAATTAAGGACGCCCGCACCATGTCAAATAGCATGAAGAAGCTCTACGTTCATGAAGGACAAATCTAAAACACAAAGTACTGTAGCAACTTACTGATATTTTGTCAGTCTTCCCGCTTGCTTTTTTGTCGGTTTGTTCCTCATCCCGCTCATTTTGATCAGTTTGGTTTGCTTTCGGTAACTTGTCAGCTTCCTCATCCGAATCAAAGGAGAAACCATCCAGTGTCCCTGCCCATACACAATAATTCAGTCAGAGCCTAAGAGGACACCAAATACATATAAGGAACCCAAATACATATAAAATCTCTATTTAGTTGTTGAAAGACCAGCCAACCTTCAACCATAGTTTCTGCTTCATACACATTGGATTGCGGTTTCAGCTGTATGAAGTCATTCATGATCGCCTCTATCTGATGAAGAAATATATGAATAAATTACTCCTCCAGTTCTTAATATAAAAACTAATTTGATTAAATTAAGAAAGTTAGGTAAATTAGTTAATTATAAAAAAATATAACATGTTTTTCCTAAAACACCACAGTCATCTTCTTTAATATCCTCCCTCCTTTTCCTATTTGATTATGGTTGAGGAAGTATCAATAAAGGTAATTTAGGAAAACTTGATAAATGTGATAAATAAGTCTCATATTTAGGACCAAGATTAACTCAACAATTAAGTCCTATATTAAGGACCAGAAGAGTAGTAAAGATGTATTCTTCCTAGTGTTACTATACTCACTACAAAAGGGTAACAATGGGGAAAAAGGCAACAATGAAATGCTTACTGAGGTTAGACAATAAAGTTAAAAAGTCAAGACATAAACCCTCGAGACGAATGGGTATAAATCGTTATTTGATGATACGGTTTTTTCTTTTTTTCTTTTTTTCTTTTTCTTTTTTCTTTTTTCTTTTTTTTTTTTTTGTGGGGTGAAGACGGTCACCAAGGAAACTTGATAAATGTGATAAATAAGTCTCATATTTAGGACCAAGATTAACTCAACAATTAAGTCCTATATTAAGAACCAGAAGAGTAGTAAAGAGTATTCTTCCTAGTGTTACTATACTCACTACAAAGGGTAACAATGGGGAAAAAGGCAACAATGAAATGCTTACTGAGGTTAGACAATAAAGTTAAAAAGTCAAGACATAAACCCTCGAGACGAATGGGTATAAATCGTTATTTGATGATACGGTTTTTTCTTTTTTTCTTTTTTTTTTTTTTCTTTTTTCTTTTTTTCTTTTTTTCTTTTTTCTTTTTTTTTGTGGGTGAAGACGGTCACCAAGGTAGCACACAAGGGAATAAGTAGATGACAAACGGACCTTTGCCTCTGACTGGCCGAAGCTAACCTGAAGAAAGAACAAACTCGTATCATAAGGCAAAAGCAATATTTGAATTTCAAATATCAAGCGATTTAACATCCAGAATTTCAGATTGTTAAAGTTACGTAGCCTTTATTGTAATAAAAAAAGCTCAGGAGGCCATATTTTTTTTGGGCCAACAAGAAGGTCATGGTTTCAAAGGAAGAAAATCCCATCCAAGATCAATTACATACAACACAAAACGTCCTGGAAGGAATTATTGCTGTTTTGTATATTGTCCCTGCAACAATATGTAAAATTTGTACTATCAGATAAAGTAATCCTTTAGAAAATAAAAGAACTATATCACTAAGAAGGTCGGATATAGAATTTTAATGGGCAGAACAGCAGATTACAAAGGTAATTAACTCAGAAAAGAAAGTATACACATATATCTATGAAGAATAAAACTCAACAAGTAAAAAATTAGATATCATCAGTAAGTCTCAGATATTCTCAGGAATTAATAATACTGACATGTTCATTCATTTCTAGAAAACCCAGTACGTCGCTATAACTTAGCTTACTGAAAAACCGGCTACAACGTGCAAGGAATCTACACGTCTTTCTACAGGCATAATAATAAATCGTCAGTCAGAAAATATATCCAGTAAAAGTACCTTTTAAGTCAAAGTACACTTCCTGATCCCCAGAAGGAGAATCTGAAATCATTATTCTGCCAACAGCACCCATGTCACCACTTAGATCTATAGAGTCACCTTCACATTCAATAAGTGCCTGCCAAAACAGAGGAGCACTTTGTAAAGAACCTGTTTTCCTTCTAGTGAATGAGGAAGATAAGTGCAATACCTATTTTCACCATGCACAGAAGTTCCATGAAAAAGCTAAAGCACATCACATGATGGATCAACAAACAGCAAATACTACCATCCCTAATTATAACCGGTATTACCCACTAATTCCCAAAACATTCTTTTATTGTCAGTAAGCTGTGAAATCTTTATTGATAATTTGATTAACCTAATGATATGAATCATGAAAGATCAAACTCTATATACGTAATCCACAGCAAGCCACAGTATTCACAAGTCATTAATAGCTTAACTCATTTCTCAAATTCTATGCAACACATAGAAAAACATGTTTAGTTACTTTTAAAGCATACCAAAAGACGTAGACTATGGCCCTTATAGAATTGAATACAGAGAAGAGGATAAGCCATAATATAATGTGGCTGCCAAACCTTTGTACGTTGAACTTTCTCAGAAAGCATCAAAGGCAGCCCTGAAGAGACCTGCGAATCACAAATAGCCAGCAAAAGTGCAAAACTCAGAATGCCAGACTGGATAGATAATCCCCATGCCTTCAAATTATTTATACATTGAAGCCAAGGGCACATCAGGAATTTATTTCTAGTATCCAGTATAATCTCGACCATTCTTACATTAGTTTCAACATGTTTTTCAGAAGTCCCTTCCTCTTTAACTTCAGCATCTTCACCACTCCCTGTTCCAATTTCAGATAGATAACATGCAAAAGACAATAAGCAAATCCCTAACTCAAGTACACGTGCTTGAAAATGGAGACATCTGTTGCATGTTTAGTAATTATTCTGAAGCAACTCCATTGTTCATACCTTTCCCTTTTCCCCTGCCTTTTGTGCCCTTCGCATTAAGTAGTGTATGATCTTGGTGTATTTGCTTCTGTGGAAGCTTTCCTTTTGATTCCTTCTTTGATGGAGACTTTCCATCTTTGCCAAGAACTTCATCCCCACATTTTTCTTCACGTTGGAATTCAAATTTTTGGTGCGCATAAGTTTCTTGCTCATTGCTGTGATCTTCCCTTTTTGGACTATGATCACCTGACTCGGAATCAGATGACAGTGCCCAGACTGAATGAATAGATACCTTAAAGAAAAGAAATAATTAAATACCATTAGCAAATGGCGACCACATGCCACAGAATAGTTTGTTTGGAAAACATCCATTTGCCTTTTTCCCTTGCAGAAGGCAGCAAGTCGGCTACTATTGGGATATATAATTTTCTATCTCATGAATAGACAATGAAATCACAATAAAAATCGTTTCAGGAGCAGAATCCTGCACGTAACGAACAAGATTCTTACATTAGGCTTGATATGCTTGTCATCGTTTTGTTCGTTCGAAGCCTTCCTTTTCTTCCTATCTCCTGGATCATAATAGAAGGACGTCAATGAAAGTTCACTAAAAGATCGAATTGAGAATTTGCCCATCCTATTGCCATTGATATTATGCATATGCTCCTGTTTTAAGTTTACACTTTTTTATTGAGCTTTAAATGGCTCAACACAAATCCTAGACCCGATTTACACATTCATCTTGTCAGACAGCACTCAGATCTCAAATATACCGTCTTTCTTTTGGCTGTCCCCTTTCTTTCTTCTTGAAGGTGTCCGAGAGACTGCTTCAACTGTGTGTCCGGGTGAAGACTCGGCACAACTTTTGCCCGGGCCAGTGGTCTCCTTCTTCTCGATCTCAGAAAATGTAGAGGACTTTAAAGATGACTCTCCATGGCCAGCTTCATCATCATCTGAAGTGCTACCATCTTGTAAAGACCGGGAATCCGTGGATACAGTCAACGGCGAATCAGTTGGCACCTTGTCAACATGATCACTTGTTTTAATTAGCAAGCACACAGCTGTAATGAAAGTATATTAAAAGTATGCTATGTTGCTGCATCATCAACGCTTGTGAATGTTAAGGTGCCAAGGTACTCATGAACGATTTAAAGTGGAAATTTAAATTGTTTCAGAAATTGATGTTCATCGCAAGCATCGTACTCCAATCGTCAAGCTCGTGTAGGCAAATTAGAAAGTAATCTTATATAAAATTAAAGAATCCAACCGGATCTTCTGAAGCAACCAAACAGAAGAAAAAATATTATTCTAGCACCTTAAAGGAACGCAGCCAATCCGGAGAGCTCTCCCTCGAGTCAGTCATTTGCAGATTTGTGTGGGGATTAAAAATCCTTTTAATGCAGTGAAAGCCCTGTGAAGCAGCAAGGCTATTATCATGGTGAAGCTTGAAGCAAATGATCGAACACTTAAAATGCACTAGCAGACAGAATAGGAAGTAAGTGAACTGACCTCGTCTAGCCGAATCAGATGGATTTCAGTAAACCTGACATCTCGGAAAACTGTGGAAAATGTTGTCCGCTGCGAGCTATCTGCCTACAGTATTCCCGACGCTTTGCTAGAAGGGGATGAACTGAGGGCGGGAACTTGTTGTTTTGGGCTCTGAGCCGCGGGAGTCTGAATATGCTGTGTTCTGACTTCTGAGTAACTGATATTTTCTTTTGTCTTTTGGACCGGGTGAAATTAATATTTTGACGTTGATATACCGTTACTATTATCCGTAGATCTTATGTGCGACGTTAGTACAAAGAATATAATTAACTAATTTAAACAGATTAAAAATATTAATTAAATTAACTAATATGATATATTTTTTTAAAATACTGTAAGTATTTTTTTTAATTTTTTTCTCTCCTTCTTCTACTTGATTATTATTTAAAAAATATTAATATAATTAATTTAAAAAAATTAATAAACATGTAAAATAGGTTTTATATATAAGACGAACATTAATTTTCTAATTAACTCTCATATTAAGGATCAAAAGAGTAGTATTTTTATTTTAATCTGTACTTTAATGTATTGATAACTAATTTACAACTATTAAGAAAACTAGGTGAGTGAATTATTTGTAACAAATATGTATTATTTTTTTTAAAATACTCTTATTAATTATAGTCATCATGAAACTACTTTGGAGGAAGTAAATAAATATAAGAAGCAGAATGAATCAAGATATTATATTTAGAACTAAATTAGATCTTCAGTTTGCTTTTTTATTTAAGAGTGAAGGTAGTGTTTTTGAATGAATGATTTGCTCACAGCTGAACAAAATCAACCAGTTTTCTCTTTAATATTTCCCCTTCAACACTGGTTTTATGGCTTAAGGCTAAAATACAGAAAACTCCTGAAAATTTTTGGTCAATTAACCTCCCTCGTATTTAAAATTTAAATTAAGGATCATAATATTTCATGTTTGGATTATTAACCAATTACCATTGAAATTATTATCAAAGTTAACGGTTTTTTTCATGGCAGTCCATGTCATTTAAAAAATCACACTTACGATTAAAACAAATAATTTTAAATTTTTTAAATACTTAAAATGAAATAATTAATTACCTTAAAATATAAAATATTAATATTAAAAGTTATTTAAAATATTTATTTGATTAGTGCTTTTCAAATAAAAAATAAAACATTATTTAAAATTACATGTCAAATGATACGTATTATTTTTTTAAATGATATGATATATAATAAAATATATTAAAAAATTGACATGAAAAAACGGTTAACTTTAACGGCGAGGGGTAATAATGAAAATAAAATAAAATATTATGGTTTTTAATTTAAATTTTTAAAAATAAGAAAATTATATGTATCTGAACTAAAATTCAGGGAAGGGTGTGTTGTGTGTATTTTAGTCAAAGTTGAATACGAAACATTACGCTGGGATCTTTTGGCTTAAAATTTTCCGGTAAAAAAAAAAGTATCTCCTTAAAATTTTATCAAGTGTGAGGTTGCCGCTTCACCAAGTCATTTCTTTATCTTAAGTTGAAATAACCAAAAAAAAAAAAAATCATTTTCAGACTTTATTTGATTTTCATCTTAGTCCTTACTATAATATTTTAATTCACTTTATTTTTATATTTATTTATTTTTTTAAAATAGTCATTCTAATAATAATAATTCTAACTAATATACTTAATTAGTAAGGATATTTTAAAAAATATAACACTTTTTATAATAAATAATTAACTTAATTTATTTTTTAATTTATTTAAATTAATTAAGTAATTTTTATATTTATAATTGGAGATGGTCTAGAAAAGTTTTCACTATGACCAAATTTTCTTGAACGTTGTCCCGTCATATCTAACATTATCGCTGTTCCAAGGAAAACCGGAGAAAAAAGGGCAGAAGGAGGGAGGCGGACGAGGAAAAGTCCAATAATTAGAATGTCATTTTTCACTGAGATAAGTCCGTCCAATTTATATCTAGAATATTTTTGGCCAAAAAGAAATTTACATCTAGAATAGTTTTTACCTTTTCTGATTAAAACGCTATTTGAAAACTCTAAAAGCACTTTTAAAAAAAATATTTTTATGTAAGCTGTGAAAAAAACTTTCTTTTACTTACTTCAAACTCTATAAAATCTCTTTTAAAATGATGGTTTGCTTTTCATCTAAATATCTCATAAGTTAAAATTTTTTTTATAAATTTATAGGAAATTGTTAATTATTTTTTAAAAGCTTAAACGTTTTTTAAAAAATAAAAGTTTGAAAATTTTTAATTATTAATATATTGTTGGGTTTTTGGTCAAATAACAAGTGTTGTAAAATTCAATAATTTAACTCTAAAATATAATTTCCCCCATATTCGAATTTATAAACCTGAGCTGGGTCAAGTTGACCCGACCCATGGTCCTATCACCTAACACCAAAAAACAAGAAGCACTGATATAAAGGACATGAAAAGGAACAAGACGCCAAAGATCTTCGTTATCCGTCTCGTATTTTAATTTTCTAGCACCGAGCACGAAAGCGGTCAGCAGTGGAAAGCACCACCTTTGGATTGAGGTTCGTTGATTCAGAGCTATCAAAATGGAACGAGGGAAGAGGGGGGAGTGGTGCTGGCGAAGGTGTCGCCTCAAACAGCTTCAAATCCCATAGAACTGCTCCAAACGCGTTTCAAAGAGTTGGAGAATGGCTTCAAGCTTTGGCTTTCCAAGCAGTCTTTACCAGTCGAGGCTGCTGTCGTCACTGCCACCAGCGCCGCCAAGGCGCTGCTATTGGTGCTTTTATGGGCACTCTCCTACTAACGATGCTTCTTCCCTTTCCCCACGCCGCCTGAGGCTTCTCTCAACCCTCAAGCCATGGCCTCTCTTAAGCAAGCTCAGGTGAGGATACTCAATTTCGCTATTTAGTCTTTAGCGTCCCCGATAGATTCAATTCGGAACCCTTTTACACTAATTCTTGTTCATGGATAAGGGTTTAGTTCACTTAAACGTTGCCTGATTCCGCGGTGATGTCTGCATTGAAAATAAGGAAATGATTAAACCTTTAGCGACAGCACTGGATTATCGGTTAAGTCTTTATTATTTTTATTATTTTTTTTGTTGCTTCTCACTGCTTATCATGGTGTGTGTTATTTATGGACATAACTGGTTGCTTCAATTTGAATGTAGACATGGCGTCTCTTTTCCATGTCGAATAGAACACGATAATTACCTTAGGGACTGAACTTCGTTCGTTCTGTAGCGGCATTGTATCAGCTTCATAGCATGCACCCTGCTTCAATATATAATATAATATCACAAAAGCTAGACTCCGTACCTTGCATGGGGTTTTACTTTTATATAAGAAGAAACAAATTCTTTTGGGTTCTTGCATCATGGTAAATATGTTAACATGGCTAATCTATTATTAGAGGAGTTATATCGGCCTGTATGGACGTGTGAGTTTTTTTCACTCATAGGCTCTTTCTGGGGGTCCTTTGGTGCAAGCTCGCAACTTTGCTGTCATGACAGGAGTGAATGCTGGTATATCCTGCGTCTTGAAAAGATTGAGGGGGAAGGAAGATGTCCAGTCCAGGTGAGGGTTATAAAGAATTTTCTCTCTTTGTTTTTGTTTCATTATTTAACTTTCCCTCCCTAACTCAACCTGGACTTTTTTGAGTTAAATTGATTCGATTAAATTTCTGGCTGTTGGTGGCTACCTTACTGCTCGCCTGGAAAACACGAATTTATATGGAAATAATCCTTGTTTAGTTTTATTTTTAATAAAGATAAAGTAGTGTACGTGATATCAATTTTGTACTTCCCCTGCAGTAGTGATGGTATTGTAGATATGGTGGAAAAATGATTAGAAGTTAATATTACTGCATAACCAGAAAGAGAAAGTACAATTTCCATGTTTTAGTATTTTCAATTTAATGCAAAGATTTTTTTTTTTTTTTCAACGTGAGTTAGAAATAAATCTTTCTTTATATCTCCAACTATGTTTAGTATTCTTATTACAGTGCATCCTTATGTGGCCAAAGAAGGTCCTGGCTTTAGTACCCTTGGGGTGTCAACTTTCAATTCAGATACATACTGAACTGTTGTGTAACATTTTTGTTAGTTGGTTGGTTTTTCCTGGTGGTCATGCTTGAAACTGGGTCTGTGAAATTTGAAGTTGCCTCATCATTACAAGGCTGGAAGGGGAATGTATACAGGCCTATTTTTAGGCGGGATAAAAGATTGCTTATTTTTCAAACATTGTAAAAACAAAGTGTCTGTTCCCCCTAAATTTTCAAGAATTCAAGATATGAGCAAAATAATGGAGGTAACTGGGTCATGGGTCCATTGAAGGATTAGTACTGGCCAAAACAATTGGTTGGGTTGTAATTGTTTTTTTTTTTTTTTTGTTGGGCAATAAAGCAACAACAATGCCATCTGATGCTAAAGAGACATAATGTAAATGAAAATTTTAGCCTCTGATCATGGTTGGTCATAATTGTTACATGAGGTGTATGTGCACTAAGCCATCAAGGGACTTCTTCTCTAGTACAAGATCAAACTTTTCCTCCGCAACTAAAGGCTCACATTACTTTCTTGCATCATGTTCTGCTTAATTTTTTGACTTTTGTATCCTCATTTCAGCCACTGTGCTTTCTTGTAGCAAACATGATGTTGAATTTTTGATGATTTATTAACTTGTCTATTACAGCATGGCAGCGGCTTTTGGGTCTGGGGCCATGTTTTCATTGGTAAGTGGCATGGGGGGACCAAATCAAGCAGCAAACGCAGTCACTTCTGGACTTTTCTTCGCTCTTGTTCAAGGTGGACTCTTCCAGGTGGGTATGAAGGATAGCCAAATTATCTTTGTGCGGTTTTTACAAGGCTTTAATTATATCACATTGTACACCTGTTTAGTAAGGGGGACCATGACCATTGAGGTTCCCGTGTTGGCAACATAACAACAGGGAATATGCATTGAGCGAAAATTCTATGAATGGAATTCTTCTCTTCTTTTGGTGGTTTTTTTTTTTTTTAGGAGGGGGGGTGTATTTTGTGATGAGCATAAGTCTAAAAGGAGAGCCCATTTCAAAATACTAGCCTATTAGGAGGAAGAGCCAATTGAATTTATAAACCCCATAATATTTGTGAGATTCCCAATGTGGGACTCATAACAGAGCACCCATCTTGAGAGGTGACGTCCCCGGCGGTTCTACTCTACGGCTCTTCGCTCAGTCTTTTTACCGGTCTGAACCTTCTGCAGGTGGCTCTTTCCGGTTGATTGACTCTCAATGAAAGCACCAATGTGATGAGCATAAGTCTAAAGAGAGAGTCCATCTCAAAAGACTTGCCTATTAGGAGGGAGAGCCTATTGAACTTGTAAACCCCACAAAACTTGTGAGATTTCCCAATGTATAACTCATAACAGAGCACTCATCTCGAATTTTCCATAGTTGAAAACTCTGGCATGATCAATTGACCTTTGTCCTATTGAGGTTTGCTTGCCTGGGCCCCTGGATGTTATGTGGGTGATGCAGGTTCATGGTTTGGTGTGCCTTCGAGTCTTTCCATGCTAAGATTATGTATTCCTAAATCATGCAGTTAGGACAAAAGTTCTCTCAACCGCCATCTGAAGATATTCACTATGCCAAGACGAGACATATGTTGCACAACCTTGGCCTTCAGAGTTACGAGAAAAATTTCAAGAGAGGCTTGTTGACAGACAACACTTTGCCTTTACTCACGGACAGGTTGGCCATTGGCATTTATCTTTTTCTATTTTCTATAGTTTTTATTTTCCGTCACATGTTGTCTTATGTTTTCTCTTTATCATGGTCTGGAGTCTTAACCTTCGGTTTTGCCTTGTCCTCTGTGGCAGTGCTCTCAGAGATGTGAAAATCCCTCCTGGACCTAGGCTGTTGATTCTTGATCACATCCAGAGGTATCAATAATTACACTGTCTCTGCTCTCTAGTTATGCTGTGCCCTGCTTCTGCGTTTCTCTGACCCGCCCATGTTTGTCTATAGGGACTCAGATCTGAGAGGGAAGCGAGTAGGCCGGAATTAAATGGGATGGAGTTTGCTGCCACCGAATTTATATACTGCTTAAAAACCGATGGAAGGGGTGTTAGCAAGTTTGCGTTTTAAATAAGTGCCATTTTTCTATATTCTGCTTTAGATTCCAAGGTTGTTGGCTTGCTGCATTAATTTTTTCAGATAATTCGGCGAACTTGAGTATAGTTCCCGGCCAAAATATGGCAATTTTTCTTTTCTGAATCATGCTATAATTGTATTAGGAAGATTTAAACTCTTAACACTATTTAGGCTACGTCCGCATGAGTTGCCTTGAGAAATTCATGTTACTATTGTGTATCCCGGTCTAAAATTTATCTTTTTTACGAATTATAAACAATGAGAATATTACTATTTAGGTTTGTTTGGTGTATTATGATTGAAATTATTACAAACATGTTTTACACAAATTTTATGATATATTTGTTTTATGTACTGTAAATTATAATTAAAAAAGAAAAATTATTTATAAATATTCTAAATGGGTTTTAGATTTTGATTTGGATGAGCTTAAAAGATTGGAAGTCTGTTTTAAAATTGTGAAGTGATTTAAACTTTATTATTTTGTTAGCCTTGTGGCAGTGTATTTTTTTGAAAAATTAAGAGCAATTAAAAAAATAAAAAGATAGGAGCTCTCTCAATTTCAATGTAAAATGAACTAGATCGGTCAGTTCAGATGGGAAATTGGCGAATCGGCAACTTGTCCTGTCTAATTTGCCTCTTGAATTGGAAGATTTTAGAGCTGGTATGAACTGGTTAGAACGGCAGGAACTAGCTATAACTAAGTAATCTGTTGGGTTTGGTGGATTATCCAGTTATGATTTTTGTGATTCAAGACAAGATTAGAGAGGGAGAGATGGAAGAATGGGAGAGAGGAGAGATGGAATAATGGGCAAGAAGAATTCAAAATGGAGGATCAAGAATGATGTTGAGTGTTGCGGAGTATGTAATGGAGTTTTCTAAAATAGTAGAAGGAGATGAAAATAAGGACGAGTGTACACAAGGGAGAAAAACACAAAGACCAACTACATAACTCAAGCCCGCTTCAATCGTGAAGATAATGGTCACCGGAAGAAAAGAGGAGAAGCAAGTGAAAAAAAATGGAATTTCAGAAAATGAGTATAGAAGCCTTTTTAGCTATCTATTTTGCTTAGGTTGTGATATGACAATTTAAAATACTCTTATCCCTACTACCAAATTATTGGTTGAGGTGGTACGCTTTCACCTTCATAAAAACATGAAAGAAAAGGAAGCATATTTGTGTTTATTAAAAGGTTATTTCTTAATTATTCATATTGAAAAAGATAGTCTTAAGTTCAATATGAGTTAGAGATACTCTGTTTCATCTAAAAAATACTCCTCTCCCTATGAGCCGCACACGCTACTTCCTTTTGTCAAATCTGTAGGTTTTCTTCCATCATTACACTTAAAATTCCACAATCGAACATGAGAAATTGTAGACTTCTTCTTCTGCACGTTTGTCCTCACATTTTTCAATCACTAGGGCTAGGCATCTAATTTTCACCATAATGCAAATAAAATTTTAAGTAAAAATATCTAAATATTTATTGTTTCTTAATTTTATGTTAAAATAGATATGATTTTGGGATGATATAAATGATATTTTATGTCTCCCTTATTTAAATATTACCTTTTATCATTAAATATAAATCTTTTTTATATATTTTAATTAAATAATATTATTTAAATTATAACGTATTTGATCCGGTTAATCCGACTTGACCCACTGCCTCTTAATTTACTGACTCAATTGGTTCAATCACGGCTCCGCTTTTTTCTTCTTTGCTCAGTTCTCCCCAAAGGCTGGATGTGATTGGGAGGCGGGACTGGAGACTTTGGGTTTCCTTGTCAGGTACCACTTGCCATCGGTGTGGCCCCCCTATAGACGTTGGACATGCTAGGTTAGACAAAACATCCCCACCCCCCCCCCCCCCATCTCACTCACGCTTCCGTCGGCGCCATTTCCATTTTCCCCGACCTTGGTCGCTCACACACGCACCCCATTATATTTATAATATATAACTATCATTATTGCAGCCAATTTCATGAACTCCATACCAAGTTGGCCAAAAAAGAAAAAAATAAAAACAAGCTTCATTGGAAATCTCTACCCGATAAAATTTGCATTAATTTATTTTATTTTTGAAAATATTTTTTTTAACATAAGCTGTCAGTTTGTAATTTATTCACATGGTCATGTATTCTGCTTTTAAATATTTATTAACATTTAATAATATTTAATTATAAGTCTATAAAAAATAAAATCTGATTAGGAAAACTTCAACACAGTGAAAATAAGTGAGTTATGAGATCCAGAATTCCGGGGCAAATTGAATAGGAAAAATTACACACAGTTCTCACAGAAGATAATTAATTCTAAAAAAGTCTCTCAAAATCTCCAAATATTTCATAAGTCCCCAAGGACTTCATAGCAAAAAATTAAAATTATGAAATACCTACTTGCCCTTACTGATAGAAAAGGTTGTGATTGGCTGTTGTGTAAGTTGTGATTGTATACTGTGCATGTTATCATTCGGTTGAGTGTAGGTTGTAATTGACTTCTGTATGGTGTGAATGGCTCAAATGTAAGTTGTAACTATAACTGTGCATGTTGTCATTTGATGAAAGTAAGTAGATAATTTTACAATTTCAATTTTTTACTCTAAGGTCTCCAGGGATTTAGGAAGTATTCAGAGATTTTTAAGGACTTTTTCATAATTATTATCTTTTACGAGAACTGCGTGTAATTTTCCTAATTAAATATGAACCGAGAATGTGATTGATTATTCCCATTCCCCCGGGCTGCCACCCGACGCTGTTCTGATGGGGCCCCTTCCCCACGATCAATCAATAGTGGCCAACTAGTGGATGCTCCAACCCTCACCATCAATCTGACTACAATTCACATCCAACTCACGTCACCACCGTCCCACCCCTCTCAGAACAAGATTAGATTATACTATGCCTTCCATTTACTAATCAATCCGCAACTTATTGAAGTAACCCTCAGGCTTTAATTTGCTAATAGGGGTATTATTATTAACACGCGCCACTATGCATTAACGCGTTGATAATCTCTGTCACCGGACACTATTCTTCGTTGTGGCAAGAGAAGCAGGAGTTTGTGTTGGTTAATCTATCTGGGCCTTGGCATTGAAAATATAACCAGCTTTGAGCAAATCAAATCCTTGTTGCCAGTTCAAACATGAAGTTGAGACGAGCTGCACTTTTCCTTAAAAACAGTTAAATTTAATTAAGTGAGATCTGCGTAATTAAGAACACCAGAGGCACCATGGTTAATCTACAACAGCAACTTTCGCAGGTAACAATTCGACCTTTTCCTCTGGATCCTTTCACAACAGAGACAGGGACGAGAGAACTCATCCATGTCATGGAGACTCCACATAGGGGTGACAGAGTATTTATCTACAGTTTACTATATTTATACTTTATTAAACAAACTAAACAAATTGAGGCAACCGAGGATAACGGCGTCGGTGAGAATTGATCATGAAGAAGAAGGGACGGAAACGGAATAGGCCTTGAGGAGATTTTGGGCGTGAGAGAGCTGTTCCATAAGAGCAACGATGCGAGCGTGATAGTCACGCGCCTCATGGAGAGCCTCAGCCTCCAACTCGCCGAGCTGAGAGCAGAGCCTCTCCTCGGCGTCTTCGGCCACCCGGAGCCTCTCGCAGGCGCTCTGAAGCTCACGCCTCATGAACTCCTCCCTCTCCTTGCTCTGCCTCAGCTCCTTCTCCAACTCCTCGTTCCTCTGCTTCAACTGCAACGCCGCCGGATCGCGAGACTCTGCTTTCTTCTCTTGGCTCCCGTTCCTAATCACCGCCATTATCGATGCCATAAAAGATGAGAGTAAAGACTAGAAGAGCAAGTAAGAAGCAGAAACACAGAAAGCAAGACGAAAGGAAAGGCAGCGTCAAATATGCGATCGCTGATGGATTTGTTGCGAATAACGATGGGCTTGGCGGCACCTATAAATAGCCCGAAATCTGGTGTGTCCAGGTTCAATGAACCTGTATTCTGTGGTGGTTTTTCCCTTGGCTTCAATTTCATTTTCAATTTAAAATTAATTAATTTCTGCCGCTGACGCATTCCCTTCGCAATGAAAAACCGACCAGTGATCATGCTCCTATGCTTTGGTGGCATGGGCCAAAACGTAGGATATATTCTAATCAAAGCCGCATTTAGCCAACACCCTCCTTCGTGGTCACGGGGAGCGTCCCATCTTCATCGCCAATTCGAATCATACATCTAAATATCTAGCTTATCAACTCGAAGGGCAAAAAAAAAAAAAAAAGCGCCACATATAGAATTTCTGTTTGAATTGTTTGAGTTCTTGTAGAGCATGTTCACAATTAATGTTTGAGTGTGTTAAATAAGATTATTTTTAATAAAAAAACATGCAAAAAACCTTAAAATAATAGTCAACTCGGGGTATTTTTATTTTAAGTATCAAAAAATAATGCTCCCTGCAATTTTATATATAAATTATAATTTTTCAAATATACATGATTCTTTTTATAAATTACACTTTGTATATATCTAAAAGTTTAATTAACTTTCTTTTTAACTTTTATCCCACTGATCAATGTCTTTGAATGAATTATCACGTCAACAATAAAATAAATATTTTTTATACATTTATTATTTTTAATAATTTAAATTAACCTTTTATCTTTGCAATTTGGTTGTCTCTCCTTTATATATATATATAGAACTGAAAGCAATATAATATAATACCACCTCGGATTCTTAATATAAAAATCAAATAACTAATTTATAAATATTAAAAAAACTAACTATACTAGTTATTTAGAATAAATGTGTTATCTTTTCCAAATTATTTTTATTAATCATATGCATTCAAATAATCTTTTTATAAAAAAAAACCCTTTAGTATGCGCAATCATCATAAAAACTACTTTAAGAAAAAATTGACAAATTTGTGAGACAAAATAAATTGACTTCTTATATTCAGAATCAAATTAAATTTTTAACTAACTCTTATATTAAGGATAGATATTTGACTCAAAAAAACTGCTCGGGGTAAAATATCATTCCCGCTGCCCTCCCTACCTCCCATGAAGAATTATACTACCTTCGATTCTTAATATAAGACCTTGTTTGACTTTTATTTTGATCATAAATATAAGACCCCAATTCATTATGCCTCTAATATTTATGTTTTTTTTTTCAAGATAGTCCTTCTAACAATAGTAGCTTTAGCCAATATTTGATTAGCAAGAATATTTTAGAAAAGAAAATACTATTTATGACAAATAACTAACTTAAATTTTTTTTAATCTTATCAAACTAGTTAATTAGTTTTTTATAACTAGGACCGGAAGTAGTAATTAAGTCGAGCTCATGTGATAATATTAGTAGTATTAGCCTGCGGGCCTGGCGTTGGGTCCAGAAATAGGTTCTTTGGTACAGTCCATAAATATCTTAGATTCGTGTATTTGCTCTGTGGGCTGTACGCTAACTTTGAGATGGGAACCGGGTCTAACACGCTGGATTCTTTTCGGGGGGAAGTGGTCGTTGACTAAAACCAAAAAAAAAAAAAAAAGGACCGTATATTCCTCCCGGTACTATTTTCGAATACGTATACTTGTTTAACGATCGCCGGATACTGATAAGTTGGCGACCAAAAACCCATGTTTGAAGCATGTTTTCTTTTTCGCCTGCTCGTCTATATCCTTCCTGATCCTGATATCTAACAAAATTAAAGGCAAAATGAATTCTTCGACTTGCCCATTCTGTGGCTTGTCAGTTTTGTCGTCGGAACTCGAATGGTATCCTTTCTTCTTTTTCAATCTTTAGTATTCATCTTTCACATGAAATCGATGTCAGAAACGATTGAACATTGATGCAAATGCAGGCACGCGGACAGCCACTTCCAGGATGATGATGGTCGCCACCAGGAGCAGCAACTGGCTATGGATTTTGAGTTGGCCCAGCAATTTGCGCTTTCTCCTAACTCACCACCTCCATTTGTTCCGGTACTTCCACCAGCACAAGAGCCTTTTTTTCGTTTTCACCATGCACAAAACCTCTTTTTGGCCATCTTTCTGTGAATGGCAAGTAGAAGAGTGTTGCATCTTAACTCCGTATAGGCGAAACAACTTACACGAAAAAACGGTGTCCCTATCAGTAACAATAAACCTAGGAGACCTTTGAAGCTTGACCACTTTGTCATCCTGAGCAATATCTGCAGCATTGTAGGGGTGCTCCAAGCGAGGAAATGAGCTGCCTTGCCTAAACAATAAACCACAATCAGAATAGTGGTCTTAGAGTAAGACTTGGGTATCCCACCTGTAGGATCCATTGAGTTTAGACCATATGCATATATATTGGGGATTGGAAGTAGTCGGAAGAAAAACCTGGAGAAGCCACATTCTCTGGTTTAAAACGCTGACAGGCTAAGTAAGCACGGACAAAATTGTGAACATCACATTCCAATCCTTTCCAGGAGAAGAGAGAGAGAACTTTTTCGGTATGTTGGACTCATTCCGAAGTGTCCTCCATTCCTAATAGCGTGAAAGGGGCTAAGTCTTCTCTTGATATCCTATTGGCCCCAACAAGTATGCCATTGAGCTTAAGCAGCTGATGATGTTAAGAAATCTTAGGCTAGGCAGTAGGGTGGAAATAGGGGTGGTCAAAGCGAAGGAATGATCTTCATGCACACGTGGGAGCACATCCACTGATAATTTCTGTTCCTATTTCTGATACACAATCTGACCATTCAAACCCCAAAACTTATGAAGACAATTTGCTGATATGAATTAACCTCATTTCGTTCCAGAAGATGCTTTAAAGGTAAATGGTCCATCTTTTTCTACTGATGCCAGAGGGGTCATCCAACTAACTATGGGGAGTGAGTTAGTTGGCTCACCCCTTTGACGTGTATCAATATTTCTGCTGAACAACATGTGCAGTTTATGCTATATTCCAATTCATGAATTAGACTCCAACTCCAATGATTTTCTCTGTTTTCTGCATGCATTGCAATTTGCCTGTGTCTTAAGCGGACAAAGAAAAGAGCTATAAAGTCTGTATATTGTCATGTGTAGTGATAATTATAATGATACTCTTCAGGTTGAACATTCAGTCAGTGGCTCACAGTTCAAAACAGTTTCTGGAGACAAAAATTCTATGTGTGGTGGTGCGACTAGAGATGTTGGAATGTGTAAAATGGACGAAAAAAAATTTTGCTTGATTGATTTACAGATGAGAAGTACATTTCACGAAGTTGGAGGGGGTTTGATGGCCTTATTAAGAAATTGTTTAGAGTCTGAACCAGGAGACTCAAAAGCCATTTTAGCAGGTTATGTTGATCATTTCCAAAGCATTGAGTCAGAGGATGTTGGATGGGGTTGTGGTTGGCGAAATGTTCAAATGCTTAGCTCTCACTTGATGGCCCAAAGGCCAGAAGCTAGAGAAGTTTTGTTTGGTGGTTCTGGATTTGTTCCTGATATCTCATCACTCCAAAGATGGCTTGAGATTGCTTGGGAAAGTGGTTTTGATACAGCTGGCTCTGATCAATTCAATCATGTTATTTATGGTTCAAAAAAATGGATAGGGACCACTGAATGTGCTTCCCTATTGCGTTATTTTGGGCTTCGGGCAAGACTAGTGGATTTTGGTCCAAAGGAATCTGAATCACTTTATCTATCTGTCCCAGGTTCGAGTCTAGGGGCCATGCAAATGAAAATTTGTAGTGGAAGTAAAAGGAAAGCATTTCATGCTTATGGACCCATGGATAGATATCTGTCTCGTGATGCTTCCCAAGCAAAGTCTAGTGAGAATGAAAAGTTGAATTCTTCTGTCATCCAGCTTGATGACACTATGGACAAAGCATGTGATGATAATGCAAACAAATGTAAAGGCCATCATGTTGTCATTGACTTCGTGTGGAATTACTTTTCTAATAATTGTTCTATCCAATTTGGCCACCAGCGTGTTGTTGTCAGTGAGAAATCGTAAGTTTGGGTGCAAATTGATACAAATTCTGACCACTTAGGCGATTTTGTTTCTTATAGTTTCTTAATTGTTGAGAGGTTTTCTTGGACAGGCCTTTGTACTTTCAACATGACGGACATTCAAGGACTATAGTTGGGATTCAAGTTAAACGTGAACGGACTGGAACTCTGCAACATAGTCTCCTCATTTTTGATCCTTCTCATGTAATTTTTTTCTTCCGGTCTTTGGTTGTTGCTCGTTAATATTTATTGTTTAGTTTGACTTTTAGACGTCTTTATGTGTTTGCAGATCATGATTCATACAAATATGAAGTATCTTTGCATATAGCTTTGTTCCGTTAAGAGCATTGGACTGATTTGATATTGGCCTGCAAGTAAAGGTCCCGCTATACTTGAGACAACTTTCTGGATGAATAAACTTGAATTTTACAAGTACTTGAAACTTTAATAGATAGCAGTCTTTCCTGGTTCTAAGAAGAAAGAATGTTGGTTTAGAAAGCATGCTATATGAGCAGTATAGTTTTTTTTTTTTAAATATTATTATTTGTCTTTTTCTTTGGTTTTTCTTTTCAGTAGATAGAATGGAAGTAGGTTTGATGCTCTGTCTCAGTTTTGTTTTGTTTTGTTTTATTTTGTTTTTTCCAATCTGCACGCACAGAAAAATATTCTGGCAAAAGCTTGTTGCATATGATGACGTATTATTTCTAATGTTGTAACTTGTCATCGTAGAAAACTGCTGCTCTGGAAAAATCGCTCAGCAGAGATACATTAAAAGAGGGATTCACACGCTAAGAAGCCACAATATCAGGTCTGTCTTCTCTTGCAAAGTTATATGCTTATTCTTACAGAATCAAATTATTAGGCTTGATGATCTGTATTAAGTGTGCCTATGTCGATTGGAATTGTGGATTGAATGGGATCTCAAGATTGTCTGATAGCTATTTCTTGTTTTAGATGGCTGTAAGATTGCAAGCTTCTTTGTCAAGGTTCTAGCGATGGCTATTTTTGGGTTTTGTCCTCCTAAAATGTGGCAGCCTTTCTCACCGACAACAGTTAAATATCCATTTGATATGTAATTTACAAATTCACCTAAACATGCTTTTCTCAATGCCTCCGGGGGTGCACTTCCCGACAATCCATTGCTATTGCAGCAATATTCTGCCTATGCTATTTATGTTCTTAGTCATCTCGGATTATATTCCCCTGTCTTTTGCAGGAATGAAAACCTTTGCTTTACCTGTATTGTAAATCTTAGTAAAAGAACGTAAGCTACAACATGTTCAATGTTCCACAGCAAAGGGAGAGAGGCCTCCCACGATCCGATACATGTCACTTTCTTCCCTGCATTTTTCCTGTCTGAATTCAGCCTTGATAGAATTTATTATGCAAGCTTTCCAAGCCAACCTTTGATCGAAATTCAATTCTCGACAGCTGCCAACAAAGTGATTTTACAATACTATAGTTTTCAAGTTGTTATGATATGCGGTGACTACCCTGGGCCAAAAAAGAAAAAAAAAAACGAAAAAAATTCTAACCACTTCAATTACGGGAGTCCGTTGTGTTAGCATGTCAATGGTATTGCATAAGGCATTAAAACCCCCCCCCCCCCAAAAAAAAAAAGGTGCTATTATTGGTTAACGCTTTCTTGGCATGTTTGGTTTAAGTGAATTCAATACAATGGGAAGGAAAGAGGTGATCAAATAGTGCAATACCGAGTTTGGTAGAGGAATTGGAATTCTCCTCTCGTTCCTTCTCTTTCAAATTGGGTTTGAATCATTCCGTCACATTAATGATAAAATGGTGCCGTACAAGAAATGAGAGAACTAATGAGATTTATTTGCCCGTATGGTTTAGAAATCACTCCATCGTATCAATTATTAGGGATAATTTGATATTATTATATCTTTTCCGTTGGATTTATGTGTATTGCTATTGACAGCTATGTGGGCAAGTATTAAAATATATTAATCAGAAGTAAACATTCCACGTTGTGATGCGAGGTCATGATGCGACTGGCACGGGCCATTCAACTAAACATTAAAAATGAAATTTCCAGATCTGTGCATATAAAGTATGTTTTGTCAGCTGCTCATGAATCATGACAGGTTGTTAAAAAAATAAGGTGTAGTTATTACGACAATGCAAGCTAAATTTTTAACTACTGGCGTACCGTGTCAAATATTCCGTCTTTATGATATTAGGGAATAAAATATATAGATATATAGATATATAGCGACAATAAAAACGATATGAGCGCAGGTGAGCTTAGATTTCAAGGTGCGTGCCAAATCACATACTCAGCAATTTTAACATATTTCACATAAATTAAGAAAAATTTTAAACTACGTTAATTCTTCATTAAAATATAACAACTTTTAATTTTACCCATATTTAATATATACACATTTAAAAAAGATAACTATCTACATTATAATAAATAAAAGATAATATAGTACATTCATGATAAAAATTTAATAAAATAACTTATAAATAGGATAAAAAAATATTCTCTCTATCTTATAAATAGGATCAGAGTATTATAAACTTTTTTTTTTAGCTGCGCAGATCTTGACTTCAGGATATGTTAAAAAACCGGAGTAGTTTCGAGAAGATATCATTTGGTCAAAGAGGCAGACTGGATTGAAATACCTCAACTGAGTTGTCGGAACTCGGCAGCGGGAAGAGATCTCCATCGAACGGCGAGGATGCGGTATTCTTGATCATTAAATACTCTGTCCGTTCTTTCTTTAGGTATTTTTTCTCGAGGAGCCGTTAAAGCAGGGAGAAGGAGCACCGCATGGGAAATTGGGAATCAGGATGGGCGCGTGGTCGTGTACTCACTTCAACTCATTTATCAATCCCAGAATTTGAAAATATATTTTTTCATTATCACTTTTAATAAAATTATACTTTAAATTTTTTGAAAAAACCAATAATGACTAATCTGATAATAACACAAAATCATATTCTTCTCTTTGTAAATAAAATAATTCATATAATTTTATTTGGATACATGTATAGTGAAACAGGATTCTTTTATTGAAAGTAATAGTAATAATAATTCCGAAAGAAGCTGCTAAGGGTAATTTGTAACTTTAAGGAAAACTGATCAAAATGTTAATGCCTTGTTTGTTGTTACCCAAAAACATAGCAATAACTCCGACCTTTATAAGCTTTTGCTGACTTTTTTTTTTTAAAGATTTTTCTTTGCCACCAACATTTATGCTAATTGACTTGGGTAAAATGTTAGATGGAAAAATTGGTAAAAAAAGGGCTATTTGAAATTTTAATTGGCCAAAAAGATATAAAATTATATAAGTACAAGTATGATCCATGAGTGTAATATATCATCCTCTATATGTAACATATCATTCGTTGTGTGTAATTGCACACAGCGAATGATATGTTACACTTACAAACCATACTTACACTTGCACTAGTCAGGTCCTTTTGACCAATTAAAATTTCAAACAAAATTTTTTTACTAATTTTTCCACGTTAGGTTCACAGAATCTAGTCACTGCACATTTATACCTGCATTATTATTTCGCTGTCACCGGTATGTAAGAATTTTAATTTTCACATTACCTTCCAAAGAATACATGAATTATTTGTTGTGGCATACGTTATCACATTATTATTGCAATGAAAAAAATGTGTATATATAATTCATAATTAAATGTCAGATGAAAAATGAAATAATATTTTAAAGTCACATCTACACCACACCTCTCAAATTTTAATAGAAATCAATTTTTTCTGTTATAAATAGTTTGTCATGGCCACAATAAATGATTGCCAACAAACGTCACAGTGGGGGCATGTGCTTCGCAGAGCAAGTTTCTGTGCATGTACAGATTTCATTGGCCCAGAGGTTCCTCATTGGAGGTGGGCGTTGTCTCTATTCCCGTCCTTTCCACGTCAGTGACAGAGAGCATCGACTTCTGTGCGTATATGATGTATCCTCCTCTGTCTCCCACCAAACCTCAATCCATGGAGCAGAAGCATGCAAATGAGCGCCTTCAATGGGCTATTATCGAGCAAGAAGAAGAACAAGTTCAGGAGGAGGTTGCCTTGGAAGGAAGGCAGGCCCGGAAGCAACTTCAGGACAACGTTGTTTCCACTGTGACACTATCATCTTCTTCTTCTCACACTCCCAATGGAGGTACCAGGCATGCTGATAACGTTTCCTCAGTCGATCTTGAGCCGGAGGAACTTCTTATCCAGAAAGACGAACAGGTTGCGGAGATGGGTGAGATTAGAGATGATAACAATCATTGTCACGAGGAAAAAGCTGATAACGCAGCAGTTGGACTTGGGCTTGTAGCAGAATTTTCAGGAGCATCATCTAACGGAGAGTCTATAATTACTAATAATGCTGCTGCATCTGAGTATGAGAATAGCGTTTACTTTGACAAGCAAGACGGTATATTGCACTCAGTATCTCTAGTGTTTCTTTTCCTTCTACAGCATCCTATTTTATTGTCAGAACTCATCAATTTCTTGAAGATGATAGAATATACGGTAATCTTAGGCCTTCTTAATCAGTTCAATTCATTTATATGTGGGAGTCACCGGTCCTACAGGTTTTTTGTAGTGTCTTTCTAAGTTCTATGTGTCGACTGCGATGAGCACTGGTCATATTTAGTCTTTATGAAGCAATGGATTTAGTCTTACTGTTGAAATTAGTCTATTTATTTAGGTATCATACGAGTGATTTAATTTACGTTGCCATTCCAGCCCTCAAAATTGTTTTAATTTATTGATGTCTAATCAGTAGACATGTAGTCCTTACTTGTTTATTTATGAAGGAAAATGGAAATGTCACCACTGCACCTGGACCAAGCAATTTGACAGTCCATGGACTATGCCCATTTGGGATCTTAAGCAAAACTCTGACTTGCTGATGAATTTCAAAACCATGATCCAACATGGACCATGTTTTGTTTGTGAAACTAAAGGTCAGTTAACGTCAAGATTCCCAAAACACACATAGCAGTTTTATCCCCCATGCTGCTTAGCCTCTCTATAAAGTAAATTCTCGGTATCAATTTTGTCATATCTTGGAGTCACTTTTATCATGAAACCCGGCTGGATCAACCATAACAGTTAAATGTGGCGAATTTAAATTCCATTCAGACATCTTAAGCTGCACGATTCTATTTTTTTCACATAAACTATCTCATGGCAATTCAATATTGTGATGGAAATCTATGACATTCTTGCAGGCAGTGAAGCCAATAATGCATCTCATGAGGTTCAAAATGGAGATGGTGCAAGGTCTGCTCTTCCCACATATAATGGTGTAGGAGAATTCCATACAGAACTGGCAAATCCAAGCATTCAAAGCAGTGCATGCAATGGAGTCAACAATCGGGATATGAAAACTACGGAGGACAAAGGCCCTTTTAATTCAAAATCATCGCCTTTGCACGATTCGTCTGAAATAAAAACTACTGATGCTAAGGGTGATGATGGTGAAACTAGTACAAAAGCAGACCCAGAATTGATAGAAGAAATTGACCAACAACTGAAGGAACTTGATGTTGAGGCTGTATTGGCGAAACAAGAGACACATGATTTGTTCTGTCCTAATTGCAATTCTTGCATCACCAAGAGGATTATTCTCAGAAAAAGAAAAAGGAGCATTCGCAACTTGGACGACAAATCAAAGCGTGATAAGTTGGACACTCTAGTTAGCTCTGAGAGGGTGGATAGTTCAGCAGATGAAACAAACCAAGGTGATCGTGCAAATTCAACTTCTGATGCTGGTCATTTAGAGCAGCAGCCACATCTTGATAACGATCCTGTGCAAGAACAAGAAGTATTTAGATGCCTAGAATGCTTCAGCATTTTTATTCCTAGAGGTTTGTGGAAATTGAAGGCTATCCTTCTAACATTTGTGCATGACTTACTCCCCCTCCCCCGGAAGCGGAAGGTTTTTCTCACAACATATGTTGATTGATCTGTAATGCTTATGTGCTTAAATCCCATTTTTTGGCAGGAAATTGTTTCAATCTGTTCTCGAATTCCATCGGTGCTCGTGAGCATGAAACTTCACAAATAACTTCAACTATACCTGCATCCGACGTGAAGGGTTCTTCAAATATAACCATATCACAAGTGCAAAACTCTTCAAGTGTTGCAGATTCTAGTAGAAACTGGTTCTTCTCTCTATTTACTTCAAATAAAGGGAAAACGTCCAATGACCAAGGCACGATACTGTTCTCAATAATCTTTTACACTCTTTTATGGTTTTCTTCTTTGATTAAAGTTTTCTTAGTTTCCCTTCTTGATGAGCGATTAAGCCTACATATGTGAACTGAGTAATACAGCTTTCCGCTCCTAATTAATGTTCTTTGTTTTCTTGACATGATATTTTAGGTGAAGTTTCCTCTAAAAATTCTAAAGCTGGTCCTGCTGAACAGAAGCATTCATCATCAATTGCTTCCAGAGCAATAAACTCCCCTGAAAATGGTCATCTAGACAGCGCTGTTACTGGTACAAGTTCTATTTATAATGGAAGAAGAGCTGTGCCTGATGTTAAGCCTGGGCATGGACGACTGAATGGAAATCTGGTGACCAATATGGGGGAGGAAAAGAATGGTTCAGCAGATATAAAGAAGACAGGTCTGCTTTGGATTAACGATAACAGTTCCTTGATTTTGTTCTTTATGTTTGATTTTATTGGACAAACTCTTTTTTTGTGTGGCGTTAAATGTGTTATTAAATTGCAAAACATTGATCATTTTCTCTTGATTGTAAATTAAACTATTATATATGAAACCTGCACGCACCTGTTAATTGTACATAGCGCAAAGTTTTTGAATTCATTATCTTCTAGCTGCATTTCATAAATAAGACATTGTTGCTCACTTCAGCAGATCACTCCGAAGCAAATATTGTACCAAATTTGCCCTCAGAAAACTTTTCCGGCGATATAAAACCCAACCAAGAGAGGGGTCTTTCAGCAATTGCAACTACCAGCGAGGCACTTGCAAATTCTGGAGAACCTGCAGAAGATGCCACACTGAAACCTGGTGAGGAGGCACCTGATTTTCTGGTTCAGTCAAATGTAGGTTCTAGAGTGCCTGAGAAGTTACTGAAGGACATAAACAAGACACCTGAAAATTTTCAGAATGGTTATTCCTCATTGATAATGCAAGCACAGGTTGCAGATGATGCAGCTACTGGCATGCTAAGTTCTGGAGTAAATGCTAAAATTTCGTCTGGGGAGGACTTTATACTGAAAAAGGAGGTGGCGAAGAATACTGAAGGCGAAACAAAAGCTGCAGTCAGTGGTGACAATACAGGTATGTGGAAGGCAGAATTTACCTTCTTTCAGTTTATGTTCTTCCAAGAGTTTTGTGGGTTTGTTTATTGTGAAGTAATATAAAAAATAATCAATATGCAGGGGGTGATGTAATAGTTGATGTTGAGGAGGACAAAATTGAATCGAGTGCCTCTCAGATAGGAGATACTGATCCAATTAATGGTGTTATTTTGAGAGACACGCCTACTCAAGCTTATGTTGATAAACAATCAAGAGCTGAAATTGGTGAAACTCGTGGATGGGAAATACTTAAAAGTATTGTCTATGGAGGTTTAATCGAATCAATCACAAGTCTGGGAATTTTGTCATCTGCAGTTGGTTCTGGTGCTGCCCCATGTAAGTGTTTTTTTCTCACTTTTCTTTGGACCGGGCTCTTAGGATATAATTCCGGTATTTGTGGAGACATGGATTTAATTTTCTCTCTGGGTACATTGTACTCTATAGATCTCAATCTGAGGGATATAATAGGATGCGGTCAAGTATCTAATGATGGATGAACAGAGATTCGTGTGATATGTTTGAGGTTAAACAAGTAGTTGTTGGAGCACATCCATTACTACATACATAAGTCATCACATCAGTTATGAGATTTTTTCCTTTTTCTTCCATATGGCTAACTGGTACTACTTGATTAAATGTGAGTATAATCGGGCATGAATGATATTATTTTATCAGGAACCTATCCACTAGTATATGGTAAAACGTAATCATACCATGTGTAAAGAAGATTTAACTCATTTAAGCATATTTGGTTTTCAAGGTAGAATTAGCTGAAGCTCGAGTGCTTGAGTTACCATCTTAAACTATATATGCTGCAATTTCATGTTGAAAACTTGATACTTTAGTTGATAACACGTGTTCATTCTGTGGTCCTGTGTTGCAGTAAACATCATAGCATTGGGATTGGCAAATCTGATTGGTGGATTATTTGTCATTGGCCATAATGTGAGTGAGCTTCATTCATTCCTTGCACTCCTCAATCTCATTCTCATGCGTTCAAATTCTTGTCACTTTCACTTTTGACTATTTCCTTCCATATAAAATTCATCCGAATCGTCTCTTCTTTCTTCAGCTTCTTGAATTAAAAAATGATAAATCTGGAGAGGATCTACAGCAAACAAACACCCAAGAAGACCGATATCAAGAACTACTAGGACGCCGGGATAACTTTATACTTCATGCAGTTTTTGCTATTTTATCATTCCTGATATTTGGGTCCATTCCTATTTTTATATATGGAATTTTGATTCGTAAGAACTACCAGACTGAATTTAAGCTTGCAGCAGTAGCATCAACTTCTCTTCTATGCATCATTCTCCTTGCTATCGGGAAGGTTTACACCAGAAGACCACCCAAATCCTATTCCAAGACCCTATTCTACTACGTCACTATGTCACTTGCTGCCTCAGGGTTGTCTTTTATAGTTGGTGGCCTAATCAGGGACCTCTTAGAGAAGTTGAGTAACTCAGAGTCTGGTTTTGTCATTACCATGCCCCTTTTAGGCCAGGGGACAATGGATGCAGCCTGGAGATCTTACTGATGATGCAAGAGAGAATCTGCTAAAGGAGCTTCCTTTTTTTGTTTTGGAGTTACATGTGGATGTTCCGCAGGAGACTCCCTGAAAGTTCAATTCAACCTTTTCATTCATGTCTTCTAAGATTCATCTGAACGTCTACAAATTCTCGAGAAGAAAAGTCAATAAAATTTCTTGCTTTTTTAATTAGAAAGCCCGAAATGTCATTTACTTTATCTATCTATCTATCTATCTATTATGTAGTATTTAAATATTGAAATAATTTAAAATAATAACAAATAATAAGTAAAGCAATTCTTTCTTCTAAATGTAATTTATAATTTGATTTAATTTTTTTAGCCGAAGTTAAGATCAATTAATAGATTAACTTATACAACCACGGACTAAACTTTTATTTTTATCTTGACAGTTCAACACACAAATATACCCAAGCACACGCCCAAGTACATATAAAAGCACGAGTTTAAATTGGTAACCTCTCTCGTAAAGAGAGAAGATTTTGTGCCACTAGACCCAAATATTGACATATACTTGTTTAAATATCAATTTCCTACGTTCAGTGTTATTTTTGAAATCTAATCTTATTTTTGCATTATTCTGCAAGCCTTGAGAAATGACGTTATTTTGGCAAAATCGAATTTGAAAAAGTTCGTATGAAAACTCAGTGATTAATGTTTTATGATCCGTTAATATCTTTATATTTTTGTTGGGTCATCATTTATTTTTTTTCGTTTAAGAGAATACGAAAATTTAAATACTATTTAGCAAAATATAGTTAATTCAAGAGCTTATATATTACTTTCAGGTGTAGTTGTAACTTGTGAGTGTGTTTAACGTTAATCTAGAATAACTCCCCTCACATTTGAACACCAATAATCTTTTAAAAAAATTTAAATTGAAAATATAAATATAAATAATAATATGAGCTTTCACAGAACTTCTGTTTGGAGATTCTAATTCCAGCAATCCATTCTAGTTTTAATACTAGTATATTTATTAGATTGGAGATACTGAAACGAGAAAACTTGTCCTATGCGCGCGCAAGGCGGACGTAGGAGTATTCCGTTGGTGAAAAACGACATGACGTTTCATGCGCACAGGCAGTGAGATATCAAGCACCGTGCTCCGTTATTCTTCGTCTAGTGGTGTTGGGAAAAGTACAGTACCCCCTCAAGTCGAGTTGAAGCATTGAAAGAGATGGAGACTCTGAAAGCTGCAATCCCGGAGAGCCTGAAACGAATGATTGGAGAGAGCACTGCAGATGATCTTCCGACCACATGTTCTTCTCTTCATCATTTTTTTCTTCATTTTGAGCCCTTTCACCAAGTAAGCTGCGTGCTAAACCTCTCTCAACTATGCATTTTATGCTTTCAGTTGATGGATATTGAATTTTCATTCAAGTAATTGAACGAGAATCGATTTCAAAATGTTGTTAGATGGTGAGTGACTTAGCAGACCCAAAAAATGCTTTATGTGGCAAGAGTGAGGCCGCTGCTTCGGAGTCCAAGCAGCTTGGCAACCATTACTTCTTGAGGGGAGATTATATAAAGGCTTTGAATTGCTATACGAAGGTTCTTTCCTCTACTTCTCTTTCAAATTTGCTGTCTGTTAATAGATATGGATTCAGATTCTGGTATGATGAGAATAGGAATTACTCTACATGTTATGCCTCTTAGGAAAGAATGAGCTGCAATAGTAGTGCTGAAAGTGAGCTGAGAAAAATTTATTTTATTCTAGATCATGAAAACGGAAGCAGCCTAAGAGTTCGTGATTTTAGTTATTATCTTATACATCCCATGCTTGGTAGCATAGAGCAGTGGCGTTGGACTTGAACGAGTGGCATTTGCGACTGGAATTGAAATGCCATGGGAGTGGAGGCTTCTGATGTTCATCTATCTACTCTCATTGGTTGTAATTAAAGGAGGATAGGTTGGCAAGGTTTTCATATTCCTTGCTTATGAAGAGATTATAAAGCTAAAGGAAAGGATACTTTGCTCCTATAAACTATTTTCTCCTAATTGAGACATATGCAAACCATAAATATAACAAAGCAAATTATCCATTCAATTAAAATTTTGCATTTTAGGGTTTCATTTTCTAATTTCGTTTCATTTTTGAATCAATACAACTAATGCATAGGGTTTAAGATGAGTTATATTATTCATGACTTGTGAATGGGGTAACTTTTAACTTCTATATTTAATAAAGAATAGATAATAATAAAACTCACCATTACTAGGTAAGTTGGCATGGACTTTGAACATGTGATCACAACAATATAGATGTATTTCTCTGTTTCCTACTTACTCTCATACTTTTAGAAATGAGGTACAGGCATTGCGTATGGCTCCTTTGGAGGCTTTTGACCTGGAGAAGAATTTGGTTGCTGTATTATATATTAATCGAGCTACTGCGTTGCATGTAAGGTTGATTCTTATGTGAGTCATGTAAACCTACGCCCACAGAATTGATTTAAATATTGACCTTGATATTGCTACCGAACATATTTCCTGCAGAAATTGAATCTTTTAAGTGAGTGTTTGCGAGACTGCGCTCGAGCTCTTCAGATATGTCCAAGCTATGCAAAGGTAGATATCACAATTATATGAACTTAAAACTATGCGCCTGCTACTTAATTTAGATATATACTGTTAAGGAAGGTGGTGGAACTCTTGCATATATTCTGAACTGCGCAGGCAATAAATGTTTTAGATTTAATTACTTATAGGATTAGTTAAAAGGTATTCCAAACTTCTTTTCCTTGCTTTTTGCTGATGGGAGTGCCCATATGGTGAGTTTGATGCTCTGAAGTTAGCAACATGTGGACAGCTTTTTGTTCCCCATCCTGAAGAGTCTCTGTTGCTAGTAAAGTATTAGGAATTTGTGCTGTAATGTTTGTTGCAGGTGGCTGTTGTATATAGCTACAAATCCCAACGCTAGGTTCTGCTTATTTTTAATAATCGCTTAACTCTGCCTCAGGCATGGTACAGGAGGGGTAAGGCGAATGTTTCATCGGGAAATTATGAAGATGCAATCTGTGATCTAAATGTGGCTAAGAGCATGGAATCATCATTGAGTGGGAAGAAACAAATAGAAAGTGAACTTAACAGTATATTACACGAATGCGAGGGGACAAGTTCAGTAGTTCAGAATGAGAGGAATGGCTTGGATACAGTAGGTAAGAAGTTTTTCTTGTTAAGTTGCTGACTCTAGTAATCAGCTAGTTAGTCAGAATTTTGCTGAGTTCGGTTCTTTCATGATTTCAACATTATTGTATGTCAAGTGACAGAGTTCGCTGTTAATTTATCATCATACCTGTTTCAGTTTCTATATTACCCTGAGGTCTCATTATTTATGTTTAGACAATGTACTTTTATTTGTCCCTACTGTTGTTTTACATCAGGTGGGCTCTACTCAAATGTATTTCTGGACTATCGGCAATCTTTAAATATGATAGTGAACTTATCCATTGGATCATTTTATCTTTTTGAATAACTAAAACTGATGTAAATCCTTCTTGGTAGATGAGATGCCTCAAATAAAGCTACAGTTAGTCTCCACGCCTGATAAAGGACGGGGTATGATTTCACCATGTGACTTATCTCCAGCTTCGTTAGTTCATCGTGAAGAACCTTATGCCATGGTAAGGGGAAAACTTATATTGTATCACAAACTATCAATTTATTTTTAGCCTTTTTTTAGAACTTCTTAGCAATCTTTTTGGTTCCGTTCTGCTTAATGGTGGACTGATAAATATTGAAGAAATCAAGACTCACACGTACTTGCACACAAAAGCTGCCTTTGGTAGAACTGGATGCTCCATGTCTCACTTGAATTTTGGTTAAAGACAAGACTAGAATACGCACTCTGTTCTTTTGCACTCCCAATGCAGATTTCAATTAGTAAGTGACCCAAATTCTGCATGTATGTACTGAAGGCGAGTAAATAGGAAACCTGCAATAATGTTTGGGGCAATGCATGAATTTTTTTCCCCCCCAACTGTATTTGTATTCTTTGAGGACTGCAAATGTAGTTATCTTGGAAAGTTATCTTTAATTAAATTTTATTTTTTTATATTTTCAGATAATATTAAAGCAATGCCGAGAAACACATTGCCATTACTGCTTGAATGACCTGCCTACTGATGCCGTTCCTTGTAGATCTTGTTCAATACCACTATATTGCTCCCAGCAATGCCAGATACAAGCTGGTGGACAGGTGTTCAAGAGTAATCCTGAAGACCATGGCATTCTTAAAGGTCTACCCAGTGATCTTGGGACATATGCTGCTAGAATTATATTAGAAAATGATTCTAAACATGAGATTGAGGATATTCCTGAGCATAAACATGAATGCCAAGGCGTACATTGGTCTACAGTTTTACCATCTGAGATTGTTTTAGCAGGCCGAGTACTAGCAAAGTTTTTCCAGAAGAGTGATTACGAAGATATTGCATACTTTGTGAAGAGCCTGGTATAGATTATAAATACATTGTAGTATGCATACTTCTTTTGCAATGCAGCTGATTATGTCAACGGTATTTGAATGACTACCTGGATGCTTATGGCCCCTTTCTTTCTTGTGCAGGAACTTTTTCATTGCTATGTACAACTTCCATCTGATAGCAAATTGGATTCACATATATATGCCATTGTATTGCTATACTGTCTGCTACACTCTTGTGGTGCTAGGTTTTCCATGGATGGGGTCACTATGTCGCAGGTTGCCTAGACACTCCTGTCTCACATCCTCTCTTTTTCTACATAATTACTCACAGGCACTATCATGCTGTATCTTGCACTGTTGTGATCAATTGTAGAGGATAATGTCTACTATACATGATTGTATTTTTGTAATCACCCATAGACTACGGCCTAATTTGCTATGTTTCTCAAATTTATGGAGTCTCACAGGAAGTTTAATGTCTGTTTGCCAAACTCCAAATCCTGGTTAAATATAATGGAATTAGTTTTACAATCTACTCTGTTTGGTATTTATTCGAATTGGGAACACCATTTTCTTTATTTAATCATCAGATAAGTTAAATATGTTAAAAGAATTAAACAAAGTTGGTTTATGTTTGAATCATTAAGATTTAAGATAATAAAGTATTAAGCCTCATCTTTTTTTTTGTCGATGCAGGTTGTCTTAATTTTTTCTCAAATCAAAGTGAATTGCATGACTGTTGTTCGTATAAGATCTATAGATGCTCATGGGCTACAAGATCAGTTCCGAGAATCTCTAGCCAGTGAATGCTTAACGAGTAATGTGGAACAGGTATATAAACTAAGTTGAACTTCAATGTTTTTCCCCTTCTTTTGCTGCTTTCATTCATTTTGGCTTGCAGTTTACTTGTCTGACTGATTTTAATGTTGATAATAGCCGAATTACATGTCAACTTTGTTTTGAGACAATCAGAACATGGTGATTCTGAGTTATTGCCTGTTACTTCTCAGGTCAGAGTGGGTAAAGCTATTTACAAAGGTGGCAGCTTGTTCAACCATTCTTGCCAACCAAATGTTCATGCTTATTTCCTTTCACGTGCTTTGTGTATACGAACAACAGAAGTTGTAGCAGCTGGGTGTCAGCTGGAATTATCCTATGGTCCGCAGGTACTAATTCTAGAAATTAAAAGCTGTCTTTCATTTGATTATCTGTCTTTTGGCTTGAATTCCTTTGGATGTTGTCTATGTGGATTGAATTTGTAATAACGTTGGTGGATTGAACCATACCTACCTAGCAAAATTAGTTAGGCGTAAGAAGGAAATTAGAAAATGGATACAAAACATGGTATTGTGACAATTGTCAACCTATCTTGGTCTACAGTGCAAGTACTTTATGCAGATTGTTGAAGTTCTTTTTTTGCAGGTTGGGTTATGGGATAGTAAAGATCGCCAAGCCTTTCTGAAAGATGAGTACTCATTTCAATGTCGTTGCAGGGCTTGCTCAGAATTCAATCTGTCTGACATTGTCTTTGGTGCTTTTCACTGTGTCAGTCCAAGTTGTTCTGGTGCGGTCTTGGACAGCAGAGTAGTTAACTGGGAAAGGCAGAAAATTAAGTCCTTCCCTGGTGCTGTCAAAGTGAGCCATTTTGTTGTACTTGTAATTACTAATCTACTTGAATAATAAGGAGCAATTACTCTCCTGATTTTCTCCAAAGCGGGGTCTACATATGTATGTTGTTTTCGGGGTTGGGGGGGGGGGTGTTTGGACCTGGGAGACATTGATGCCCTAGCCTTGGCCATCCTTTCAGGTTGACAAGAATGATGACATTTATAAAATCTGTCTCCGTTTATTCAACCAAAATGATGGCTACGCTCATATTCAGCCTGGGTACTGTTTGAGATGTGGTTCTTACCGTGATTTTGAGTCTTTGTACACTGCAGTTGATAAAGCTTGGATATGCATCAAAAGGTATGCATCTTTTACACTGGCTCCCTAGTCCTCGTGTACATCTTTCCTTGTTCACCTGAAATATAAAATAAAACCCAAGTTCAAGCTTAGCTTGATGCTCTGGCTGTTGATTTTACATGTGCTCATTTCAAAGTAAAACCGAAAGCTATAACTATGATCACTGTCCATAGATTTTCCAAATATGTGTGCATTTTTTCCCATTTTATACTGGATTTGACAGATTGCAGGATGCAGTAAGTTCAAAGGAAATTTCGAATCCTACTATCTCAGATGCATTAAAATCTCTTCATCTTCTGAAGTCATATTTGCATTCCTACAACAAACATATTGCAGAGGTACATCTATCTCAATTTGACGTATTAACCTCTATTTTGAGTGATCAAATTTAGATAAACTGATAAAAGTGCCTCAAATGAAGGTTATAAGCTGAGTAGATGATCAAAGTCATGTGTTTGTCATTTGGTATTTTAAACTTCGTTTCATTCTATGTGACATAATGCAAGCAGGCAGAGGACAGCCTTGCTCAGGCCTTTTGTATGGTGGGAGAATTAGAATTAGCTATGGACCATTGTAAAGCATCTTTGCTGGTAAGATTTATTATTGTCTACCCTCTCACTGGTTGACTTGTTTTTGTCATTTGTTTTTGTTTTGGTGATATCTTGTGTCGGCTAGCATTTATCAGGCATCTAATCCCTGTTGCCACTGGTTGAAGCTCAAATAATTAATAATGAAATTTGGAATTCAGTTCCCATATGCAAGCTTTGTTTGAGCTGAATTTGTTTTCAGTAAATGATCTCTTGAACTCCTCTTTGCTGTGAATACGGTTCTGGTACATGACCTTGAGTCTCATCTTTTGACTCCTTTTAATCATAGGATGCTTATTTATATGCTATCCAATCAGGTTGGCTGAGCGGTGAACTCAACTGGACCTGCAAGATAGATAGCCTGTTGATTTTGTAGTGTTTTTTTGTTAAGCTTATTTTTCTGGGTCACTTGTTGAAGAACTTGATCTAATTCATGCTTGTGTCCAACATCATGTTAAACTATGTTAAGATGTTGTTGAATTAAATTTTGACCTATGTGATGAATTAATCAATTTTCTGTTACTAAACCTGATATGATTCTTTTCCGTATGGCAGATTCTGCAAAAGCTATATGATCCGGATGATATTGTCATTGCCTTCGAGCTTGTGAAGCTTTGTTCCATTCAAATTTCCATGGGTGATAAAACCGCGCTGGAAAGCATAAATCGAATATGTGGTATCTTCTCACGTTATTATGGACTTCATGCACAGTCGTTATTCCCATATCTTCAGTACCTTAGAAAGAGACTGGGAATTTGTGAGTGAGGGCCTGAAAGGACCCGAGGAAAGCTTTTCTGGCAAAGCAAGCGCTAAGTTGTGAGGTACTACAATCTTGAGCCAGTGTTTTCACTTTGTTTCTATTGATATTGCATGATCGTAATTGTTAGCATTTGAATTCAGATTTGTATGCAGCAACTTCATCAGTGAAAGAATTCAGCAGCAATAACTTCAAAATAACCTGTTCCTGTAAGTTACTAATTTAAAAGAATAACTATTTGACGAACCACTACCTTGGTTCATTGAGAAGTTGATTTAATATGCTATTATTTTCATAAAACTGCGAACCTTTCTGGTGTGTGGTGCTTCCTTCCTATGCTTGGATTCGCGTTGGAACTTCCAAAACCAGCGTGAAACCAAACAGATCAAAGATATGAAGATTCCGTATGCGAATGTTCGGAAAGAGGAGACGTCATATTCAGAGCACCATTCTGGTTGCCGCTATTCTTCAGCTTGAGCAGTTTCAGCGGGGGTAGAGTCTACGATGCAACTTTGCTGTGTGTTTATGGTGGTTTCGCCAGATATTATCTAAATTCAATTCAAGGGTAAACATGCCCCTTCAGTCTTGAGTAGGATGGTTCTGGATAGTTCTTTGCCGATCGAAACTCCAACTCACCAATCGATCCCAGAAACCAACTCTACTTTTGAGCTAAATTGAACAAAATCAGTCCTTAAAATCACGCCATGGGTAGATTTTGTGTATCGAAGAGAATAGATTAGATTTGCATTTTCTTTTTAAAAAAAAACATAAAAACTATTAATAGCAAGATTTATTAAAAGGTAAATCGTGGATGAAAAAATACACACGTCCTAGTTAATTTGAGTTCTTAAAATGTCAGTACCAATGTTCAGCTTAATATAAAATATTTGATTTGAAATAAAAAAAATATTCATAGATCATACTAATGTTGTGTATAATTTTTCAGTATAATATATGGGGAGTTCCCTGATTTTATTATAATTACGTTTATAATTTTTTATATTTTATGTTTCTTTTTTTTTAAACTTCTAATTCATCGATTGCATGATTGATAAGTACTATTTCCGGTTATTAATATAAGAACCTGTTTAACTTTTAATTTAATCTTAAATATAAGATTTTAATATACTTTATCTCATCTTTTTTTTTAGTAGTCATTCTAGTAATTATATATATTAAATGTTTTATCAAATGACACTTGATTAATAAAGATATTTCAAAAAAAATAACACATTTATTATAAGCAACAAATTTAATTTTTTTAATCTATTTAAATTAATCAACTAACTCTTATATTAAAGATTGAAGATAATATTTTTACATATAAACTTTATTCATATAAAAAATTGATTATATAAATAGTAATTGCGTGCACTTTTTTTAATTGGCAATTTTATTTATTTTGAGGGTATGGACTGTTTAAACCGTTAATGATTTGTAATACACATACTTCAAGAAGTTGAGTAGCATGTGGCGACCATTGAAAAATTAGCAGTTATTTACACGGTAACGTACTCATATTTTACTTTAATCCATTTAAGATGCTTCATAAAAATGTACAATAGATTACAGCAGAAGCAACGTCTGGTGAGTTACCAGCCTCCAACAACACTTGGCGCGGACCTAACGTCAGCTACATAACAACCCACCCGAAACGGAGGCAAAAGGCACAGCTACGAAAGGAAAAAGAATAATACAACAACCCCCAATTGGTTACAGCTCCTGAAAGTTCTCACAGCAGGAAAGGGCAACCAAATCGGCCATGGATAAAAACAAAACAAGGATAAAGTCAATAATAAATCAGTTAGACCAAACATGAACCAGTCCGTGTCTGTTGCCCGTGTAGATCTCATTGCGCTCTTCGTCATAGAAGAGTGCGGTAATATCCTCCAAGGCTTCAGCGACTGTGCTCCTAATTCTGGACACATGCTTTCGCTTCTTTGAACTACAACCACTACCTGCACAACTGTCGCCACAACCACATTCATTTTCCATGGTAAAGCTATTGCTAGCTCTGATTTTAGCCAGACACTTGCCAGTCAAAATGTTGCTAACATTGATGGATCCGGCTGCATCCAAGAAGCAGAACATTTTAAAAATACAACCTCGAAGACAATTTCTCTCCAAGAAAAAAATAGTTCATGGATCTCTACTATAACACCGTAACGTTGTTTCATTATTACCGTTCACTATCCCGCTTTGAAATAATACTGTAAAGTCAAAATGCAAAGGGGTGTTTCAATTAGCTTTTTGAAAGTGATTTTACAGTGTTAAAAGTAAACATGTGAGAAGAGTGTTGTCTCAACTTATGTGAAAATACTTTCTTTAAGTGCTTCAAAGGTTCCCAAACTCCCCCTAAAACATTAGCATGGAACTAAGGAGGTGTGAAGTGGAAATGAAAGTAGAACTCAAACTTTGGGTGTTTGGTATCCTTGAAGTAACTTCCATGGAAGTGCCAATTCCATCAAATTCGGGAACTGCCACTTCTATAGCCCCACCATGAGAACTGAGCTCCAGCGCCACGGAACTAGAAGGTGGGGGACGGAGGTTAACGCTAGCTGGGGATGGAGAGATTTTCTTTTTATGGGAGGGCATTTTAGTATTTTCATATTATAAATACATATTTTAATTAAAAAATATATTTCACTTCCATCATCCTACCAAACATGTTTTAAAACCCACTTCCACTTCCATAAAATCTCTTCCATGATACCAAACGAGGCATAAGCTAACAAACTGCCTCACCCAGCGTACCTCACAAGTCAGTTTATGTAATCCATCATCCATCAATATATATAAGCATATTCCCTCATCTACAGTAACTCTTTCCTGCATGGTAACTTTTATCTACAGTTGCTTTTATTTTTTAAATGATCTACAGTGACATTCCTCCCCAACATATTCCTACGCAAATAGTCCGTGCACGATGCACAGGAGTACTTTGGTTGCGTTAAATGGAAGAGGAAATAAAATAAAAGCACCAAGGTCTGAAAACAAAATGTATAAGAAAACGGAGAAGTACCGGTTCCTTCAGACAATGGATCGTCAGAATCAGCCTTGCAGTATGATATAATGAGATCCTGGTCACTGGTAATATATATATTATTTGTGTTGCAGTCAGGATGCCACAGTAAATGGTCCTCAAAAGAAGTTACATGTTGTCCACGGAAATTCCATACAGCCACAGTGCGATTTCTAAAGGTCAAGAACAATTGGTTCTCGTATAGAAATATGAACGCAGATGGTGTCATAAATTCACTTCTGCTAACTTCTTTTAGCTCAAAAGTCCGCACCTGGAGATGATTGAAATTCAGATATCCAGATGAGAACTAATGTATACAACTCATGTAGAAGTAGAAGGATACTTACATCCAGAATTTGGAGGTTCTCATTTTCTTGCTTGACAAGAAGCTTTTCATTAAACTGTTCAATGAAATCCACTTTCTTATTCCGATGAAGGAGATGGTTGAACGATTTCAAAACAGAACCATCTTCAATTGAAAGGATTTTAAGTGGGACATGGCTACTTGCTTTAGCAAAAATCAGTAACATGATCCCCGGACTGATCAAGAAAAATAATCAAACAAGAGCAAAGCGAAAATCAAGTAAGACTGGGGAGAGAGGGAGGTGTCAATGTTATCCTGAACTAAGAGGATGTGATACATTTTTCATAAATTTGAGCATGGCCATAGACCAGCCCTATGATAATGCGGTGTGAAGTGTACAGGTGCAACTAAAATTCACATGCATGCAATGAGAATTACCTGATCTTAATCTCTTGGACATTTTTATCGGAAATGGAATACAACATTGTATAGTTTTTGAGGTCAAACACCTTGTATATGCTGCAGAGCGAAAACACAGACAAATACAAGTATCCCAATCAATAACCCTTGTTATAAAAGAAAATCATATCATTGAACTGAAAAATCAATGCCATATAAATATAGTATTACCTATCCTGAGCAGAATAAGTCAGTACTTTCCCATTTACATCGTCAAACTCAACAAAGCCTGGCCACTTCAAAGACTCAGATTCGAAAAGCGCAAAGCCAGCATCTGGTTTTCCCCTCCTAATGTATCTGGACAACACAAATATATCAGCACAATTCGCAAGCAAACAAACAAGAAATTGTTAGTCTCCACTTTTAATTTAGTTTCCAAGTGCACTACGTCCATCTTGAGTTATTTTGCATTATAGTTTTTCTTCGTATTTGTCTGGGAAGGGGGAGAAACGGGAATTGAAAAAGACCAGAGCTTTATACATACTCAATCCTTGTGCTTCTACATTTCAAAGAACTGTAACTGTCTGAAGCGTAGACAGAAACCGTGATAAGCGAGTCATTGTTTTTATTATAAAACAGACTTCGGATAACTTCATCAGGACTCACATTCAAGAAGCATATCCTTTGATTGGTCTCTGCATCCAACAAATAATATATTTAATATGTATCTCCACTTTTAGACATATATCAAACAGAACAGCACCTTCAGATATTACAAAACACATAAACACAATTATTACCTCGACTAAATGCTGCACAAACACCAGATTGTGCAAGAGCAAAAACAATGTCTCGTGCTGCAACAATCTCAATAATTTTTGACCTTTTTCTCAAAAAAGGGAGTGCCAATGAAGAAGGACCTTTTGGATCGTGCGTATCATATTCTTCCTATAAAGAATCCATCAATCTATCACAAATTGGTAAAAAAGATAGGTATATATACGCATATTAAAGTATACATCTGACATCTCACCAGAGACACTAGGGTATTATTCACATCCAAAGAAACAGAATGAACCGTGTCTCATTATACGGCTCTGAAAAAGTGAGTTTGAAATATTATACCGCACAAAAATGCAGAAAAGTATCCTCTAAAGATCACGCTCATGCAATAATAAAGGAAATCAAATTTTCACAACCCATCTTGCCTTGTTTCCTCACAATGAGAACGTAATCAAAACTTCAAACAAATTCACATTTAAGAAATCACAGTATCGGCTGCACTGCTTATTTGGTTCCAGAGTCCCATTCATAACAAGCTTCTTTTTATGCTAAAGTAAGCAATCACAGGCATGAGGCTGCTAGTTAATCTTTAAGATCCACAAACACTAATATGATTAAGGGATACACCAAAGGAATTCTTAATTCGAGGAAGCAACTTCAGGCCAGTATCCAAGTTTCTCCAACAGGAACCTAGTACACGTTTAGCATGAATAGACACGGTAGTGAGACACCATTGGAGAGAAAAATGACACGAGGCTCTTGAATAACTTGGACGACTTTTACACAACTTATAAATAAGTAATTAACGAGAAGATGAGGCTATGAGGCCAAGGCATTTTGATTGAGCCCAACGCTAAACGTCAATTTGACGTGCTTCCTAAATTTCAAGTCCTGCTCGACCAGCAATTTTCTATATTACAGCAGCTAGAAAAGATTTGTGCAGAAGCAGTAAATAGTGAAAAACGAAAGGAGCTCAAGCACATGAGCTTTTAAGGGAATTCCTAGCGGGGAAGCATAAAAGAAATAAGGCAATCAAAACTCCCCAAGACAAATGCTGCAACAATTCAAGACTAAAAAATTAACGGGGAAAATTAATGAATCGAGATGGAGAATTGGGCAGAAAAACTAGTGAGACAAGAGCAAGATGCTTAATAGCAAAGAAGAAAGTTAGGAATGGAACCTGCAAGCGAATATTGCGAAATCTTTCCTGAGCATCGCTCATACTGAACGCGCGATCGCGCTTTGAGCTGATTTCACGCCTTTGAAGCTTCTTAACGCTGTTGACAAACCCGTCAACTCCCCCACCTCGATGTGGCCTCTTTTTCGCGACTATCCTCCGACCACAGCAAGGTCGAGGACTCGCCGTAATCCTCCTCCCACCTTCCATGTAAGCCCCTCTCAAAACAACCGGCCGCAAACTTGAATACCAAATTCACACATCACCGGGAATTCGACTAATACATTGATCTCGGGAAGTGGAACTTTGGAAGCTGAATCTGCTACGCAACTAGTCCCGATTGTTAAAAGCCCTAATTCCTTCGTTCCCGAAAGCCGAAATTCAAAGTATCAGCCTTTCACTCAGAAGCAAGAGAAACCATAGCCATCTGTATCTCTATTTCACTCCCCCCCGCCAGTTAAAGGACGGTCGCAAACTCGCAATAGAGGTTTCAATGGGGCGCCTTCGCGGTTCGAGCTGGATCCCGCCTCAAAATCTGTCTCGAAATCGGTACACTCGCAAGTTGCAAATCGCAAAATGTCTTTGAAAAAAATTCCATAACGCCTTTCAGTATTTACTCAATTAATACCTTCAATTCAATCCGTTAAAAAAATAAATTAAATTAGTTATTTATAATAAATAATTTTTTAAATATTATTACTAATTAAATGTATTAGTTAAAATTATTATTATTAAAAGAACTATTTTGAAAAAAATATATAAATATGAGAGACAACATAAATTGGGATCTTATATTTAAGATAAAAATAAAAATTAATAAATTAAGGATAACTAAAATAACAAATCGGCTAATCTTTCAAGTTATATATTTATTTGATGGCAAAAAATTTAAATACTCCTTGCAATAATCATATTTACTTTATTTATTAATCACAACCAAAGGGTCACAAAATTTGAAGTTGGTCAAGCCTATAATTTATAAATAACGAAATTTAACATAAATTTGATAATATAATATAATACTACCTCCTGTCCTAATTATAAGACTCAGTTGACTAATTTGAGGAGATTAAGGAAAAAAGTTAAGTTAGTTATTTGTAATAAATAGATAATGTCTTTCCTAAAATATCCTTGCTAATCAACTATATTGGCTAGGACTACAATTATTAGAGGGACTATCTTGGAAAAAAATATATAAATATAAGAGACAAAGTGGATTGGAGTCTTATAATTAGGACCAAAATAAAAGTCAAACAGGGTCTTATATTAAGGACCGGAGGTAGTATTAATTATGCGCAACATTCTTAATACTTTCTTATTTGTGTATATGTTTAACATATTCCCATCCTTAATATAAAACTTGATTAACTAATTTGAAGATGTTAACAAAATTAGTTAAATTAATTATTGTAATAAATAGGTGTTATCTTTTCAAAAATACTCATATCATGTGTGTTAGTTAAAATTACTATTTAATAGAATTTTTAATATATGCAATTACTACAAAAAACTACTTTAAAAAATAGATAAATACGAGAAACAAAGTAGATTGACATCTTATATTTATAACCAAATTAAGTCAAATAAGCTCTTATACTACCTCTGATCTTTAATATAAGAGTTAGCTTGACTTTCAATTTGATCTTAAAGAGAAGACCTTAATCTCCTTTATCTCTTATATTTATTTATTTTTTCAGAGTAATACTCATAGTAGTTGCACATATTAAATATTTTATCAACTAGTAATTTTAGCTGACATTCATGATTACTAAGAGTATCTTAGAAAATATAATCCATATTTATTACAAATAACTAATTTAACAAAACTTGTTATATCAGGTATCAGAGGTGGTATTAAGGATGGAGGTAGTACTTCTCACAGTGGCCTGTCTACTTAAAGGATCTGTTTTTTATATTCATGGATCTGGTTTTTCATGACTGGTCAAAAAGGATGCTGTTTGATACCATGCGCTCATTTAAATTGGGCTGGATCTTATGCCCAAAATAATAGGGCTCGATTCGGTCTGGCTTGTCCTAAATTTTAACTCGGTAAAAATTAAAATCTAGCAGGCCCCCTCTTTGACCGGTTCGACTGGACTGTCCGGTCCAGGTCTTCAAACATCAACGTGCAGTTTTAGTTTAGAATAATAATAGTATTTCGACTGGAATTACCTCAGTAAGCCTAGTGAAAAAAAAAAATTTGTGACGAGGGAGGAGATGTACGCGTTCATTTTGAGTTAGCTGGGTTGGGCTTGTCATTCCCTTATTTTTGCTTATCAGGAAGCACAACTCATCCACATGCGCATTTAGTGATCACAATAGCACAACTCACGCACACATACAAATGGATATATAGATATATTGGATAGACAGGACAATGCAAATTCAGGCAGCTGCCAGTAACTGCATGAGAGGTCAGGTCTTGTGAATGAGGAGATGCACGCCATGTCCTGGCTCTATAATCATTCGGTAAGCCGGAGAGTGCTTATAAGTAGGGGAAAGAGAGAATCTGAAACGGGAGAGCATAAGTGCAAGCACGACCTTCAACTGGACGAGAGCGAAGTTCTTGCCCAAGCACAAGCGGTTACCCACTCCAAAGGGCACGTACGCTTGTGGGAACTTGCAAGCCTTGGACACGCCGTCGCTGAACCTTTCTGGCTTGAACTCATTAGCATCTGCTCCCCATATGTCTGGGTCTCTATGCAACCTTGGGATCAGAGTCCACACACAAACCCCTTTCGGAACCAACAGGTTTCCTATCTTAATGTCCTCATATGCCTCCCTCGACACAAAAGCTGCCGGCGGATACAAGCGCAGGGCTTCTTGAATCACCATTGTCATCTATATATGCATATACAAAAAATAAACTTAACTTACTTTAAGCTGATGAAAATATATATTATGAAAAAGTATGGGGTTGTGGGCACACGCACGCGCACCTTCTTGAGGCTGGGGAGAGAATCTGCAGTTGGGATGCCACTGGGGCAGAATTGAGCGAGCTCCTGTGCAATGGCAGTTTGCCATTGAGGGTGTAAAGCGAGAAGCATCAAGGTCCAAGAGGCGGCGACGGCGGTGGTTTCATGGCCGGCGAAGTAAATGTTCTTGCAGTTGTCCACTATGAATTTCTTGGACATGTCCTCACCCACACTTTCATCACTCTCGGCTGCTTCTAGAAGTAACTGCATCAGATCCTTCTCCGACGATCCTTGTCGCTTGCGTTTCTCCACTAACTCCCAAATCAGCGACTCTACCTCTCTTTCCAGTTTGCCCATCTCGTCTTCCTTCCTTCTCCACAAATTAAACATGCCCCTGCCATCACCAATGATGATTTATTTTATATCATAAACAACAGAAATATTTGATTTGTTTGGCCCAAGTATGTGGTGAGGAGCATAATTGTGTATAAACAAAGGCAGCAAGGGGAGAAGAAGATGGGCTGACCGAAAGCCAGAGAGGCCGAAAAGGAAGCCACCCTGCTTGGACATGGCCTTCTGCATGGTTCTGAGCTTAGAGAAAACCTCTTTTCCCCTGGAATAGGAATGGCCGAAACAAACCCTTGAGATGACATCAGCAGAGAAGCCCCTCAAATCTGCTCCCACTTCGACCTCTGCTGATGATAATCCAGCCTCGTCAATTGACTGCTCCCATTTTGATAGCATAGGCTGAGCTGATTCGATCATAAGCCCCACCATACCCTGCCCCATATAATGCCATCCACATCACATCACCCAAATCACATGCATGCATGCATAGCGTGGGTCCCCTTCCACAGCTCTCTGTTTATGAAATGCTATTAAAGGCGGAAAAACTCGCAGAGCGGATATGGGAAATTTTTAGTACTTCGGGACTTCTGTCTATCCAATTCCAACCCATCACGAATTCCTTGGTATCATTAAGTTGTGAAAGACCTTTCTTAATTCTTACTAGAATAATAACGTTATTCACAATCACTCGCACACTGTGCATGGGCCCACCGATTCGGCTGGTGGACTTTTCTTTTATGTCTTCCATTGGACTTGTTAATTATGCGCATATAGAAGCGTATAAAATTGTCGCCCGCCCCTCGTATAACATATAACATGCTTGTTTATCTCTCACCCATATTTGACAAACACATGCAAGTCAACCACAACAGTTTTTCAGACATGCTTCTATTCAACATTTTAAATAAAATATATCTACGTAGGTAATACAGGAACTAGAATATCTCTCAATCCAGAATTCCAGGAGAACGTAACGATGTAAAATACGGGGGCTCGCTAAACAAGTCCCGTACACACCCATAACACAATGGAATAATTCTATTCAGTACGTGCATAAAATATAAAATGAGCGATGCTTTTCACAAATTAAATAAGAAATAATATATGATAAAAAAAGAAAACCCTAATGAGTTTATTACAGGAATCCCTCGTGGATAAAAATGAAAAGTGATAACAGTCACGTGTGTGTGTGTGCGCGTGTGTGAAAAAGACTAGAATTTGAATATAGTGCGTCAGAATTATTTCTTTAGAGAGAGAGAGAGAGAGAGTGTGTGTGTTTGTGTGTGTGTGTGTGTTATTAGCCCCACCTGTCATCAACACACTGATTATTAAAAAAAACACTAACATTATTAACAGAGGCGACTTTGCCCGGAGAAAAAGATGGGTGATTACCAATTTCCTGTCAATTTCCTCGCTTACGATATACTGTATAAAATCTAATCTAATCAATGAACACGATAGAAGTGAAGACAAAGCCACAAAGGTGGGTGGGTGACGGGGAGGGATATTATATGATATTAGTACCAGATACAATGATGATTAAGGATAATCAATGACGCACCTTAACTTTGTTCATGAAGAACTCGGCCGAAACAAGCTTCCTTTGGTGCGCCCAACTAAGCCCATTTGCCCTTAAAATGCCATTTCCAAGCAAGGGAGCGAGCCTGTTGGTTACATCAGAGGGCTTTCCAAAGTCCAGAGTGAGACACTGGTTCATCTCTCGCACCAGCTCTGGTTCGTTCACAAAAAGATGCTGCTTCGTCCCCGTGGAATACGTGTACACTGGACCTGCAAGTCAGGTTGCACGTGCCCCATGTTACAGTAAATATATCTCTTAATCATAAACCTGATGTAAAATTTCATATGGAGAATCTGATTAATAGTGACAGGGACGTGACGTTGATCCATTTATTTGATGGGCCCAGACTGAAATGATCCGTAATGGTCTAGGCGCTAGCTTGCTCCATTAATATGCGTAAGCTAATTGAAAGGTGATGCCGCTTGTGAGGCTATGTATCTACCAAAATTGCAACAACAGCTGTAAAGGTAATTATTCTTATACTATGTTATTGTCACTGTACTACCTCACCAATAAAATACATGCAATATGTTGTCCTCCCTGACCCCAGTTCATTTTTTTTCTCTTTTGGGTTAACGACTAAAGTATATATATTCTGCTGCTGGTCAGAAAAAAAGTTTATATATTCTACTCATAATTTTTCAAGATCGACGGGA